GCCAGAGGTGGCAACATCCACTATTCGTCTTTATTTTTATCGTCTCATTATTTTCAAAAACAAATTTTTAAAATTTACATTAATTTTTTTCAAAAAATCGTTCTTTGGTAAGCAACCTTTAATAAAAGACTTTTTTCCAATATTTTTATTATTTCTTTTTCTGTAAGTATAGTATTAGTGACATTCCTTCATAAAATATGGTCTAAGTTTGGCGATTTCTGCGAATTTAATGTAATAGAAGGTGGGCGGTTGATTGTGCCTGTGAGATATTAACAGCCAGTCGCACACGCATTTAATCTCTAATTAATGCGTAATTTGTATGGGTAATGTCACTTTAAACTAATGAAAATTTTGATGGACATTTGTGCAACTAGCTGTAAGTCAAACAAAATGCTCAAATCACAAGCGAAATCCGGAGCGCGCGAACCGGAGAGCGCCAGCATGTACACATAACTAGAACATTTTAACTACATAACACTTACCTGCTAATGATGAATAAACGTAACTAAATTATCTACGGCAAAACTATTACCAATAACCGTTTCAGAACCTATTCGATGCAAACAAACAAACAAAAATCATATCTTTCCTGTTAATAATATAAGTATAGACATATGAGCATATGGAGTAACTCAAAAAGTATTTAATTGATTGTAAGGAAAATGGCGCTATTGAAAACATAAAATTATTGGTTGGTTTATGGTGGCTATAAACTCAATACAAATGGAGTAATATCTTCTTGGTTCTTATTAGTCGATCGCCAACATTGAATGTTTCAATGTGAAGCAACCAAAAATAATGTACTTTTTCAGGATAAACTTATGGATTTTTTCTTTTAAAAATGTTGGAAAAATACGGTTAGTTTATTTAAGTCTTAAAACGAAGGGAATCAACGACGAAAACAATTTTTCCAGTGACCAAGATGAGAAAGTCAGTCTGTGATTTCACTCTCACTATGGAATATGTGGAATAGTATTGACTAATAGAAATAAAACTATATACTTAAACAATAATATTTGCTTAGAGTTAGTTACAATAAGCTACATTTGACTTAGTTATATCATCTATAGTAATATTATAAAGGGGAAAGAAAATAATTGACTATTGGTTTGTTTATTTGTATCATAAGTACAAGAATCTGGACCAATTTTAAAAATTCTCTCACCTATCGGTAACTAACGCGGGTAACATAGGCTATATAATTTACGCTGGCGAAGTCACGGGTAAACAGCTAGTTTTCAATAAAATGATTTGCAAAATATAAATAAAACCTTGGGTAAATGACCATTCATAAGAAAGGTCTGCTATGAAATAGGAAAAAGTATATAAAACTAAAAAAGTTATTGACACTAGCAACATCCTTCCCCAGTGCCGTAAGCTGTCATTCACAAATAACAAGGCTATACTACACTAATTTGAGTTTGTTCACCATTATTTGTTAAACCATGGTGAGGCAACATGGTGCTACTAGGGTAGTCACGGCCTAATAATAATACACAGACTTCAGCATAGAGATTAGGTAGGTAGTTATATCTTTTTTTCATCTCTCTATAATATATATTTATGTCTGACATAGAAACATTTACCTCGTTACAAATTTATCCGACCTCTGTATCTATTTACTATGAACTCGTAAACTTTATGTAGTATAAATCGGATTGCTTTTTAGGGTACCGTAGTCAGAAAGAAAAATTTAAAAAGACACAAAATTTAACTTAAGCAGATATTTTTACTAAATAAACAAGAATTTGAATGAAGACCGAACTATCATTTAATAGAATACAATTATTATGAGTTATTAATACTTCATAAAATTTTAATATATTGTTAAAAAATGTTTGCTGAAGTGATGACGTTTTCTCTAGTAATTACCTATCTCAACTATGGATACGGGTTTAAAATAGCAAAGAATTTTTGTTTTCTAAAACAAAAGCTAAATAGTCTCTTAGCATTAAAAAGCCATAATCTGACATGCACATATGTCACAAAGTGGGAAAATGAAACCTAAAGAATAAGTTTAATAAAAATTTACACGTAGTAAATCAAGGGGTGTTTTTCTTGTAAACACCATAGTTAAAAAAGGATTGCATTTATTATACAAAATATGAAATATTTTAGGTTTATTAAAACTACTTTTCGGATAAGTAAACGAGATATTAAGCTTTATAAATTATTAACTAAATGGTTGATTAAGAGGTATAGAAAAATTCCGGCGTTAGTAAATAAACTATTATTTATGCTATTAAAACAATTTGTCGATGTTTAGTTCAGCTTTGTCACAGCATAGTTTCAAGAAAATAAAATCTTAATTCTCTTTATTTGTCTGAACCTCTCACGGAAAAATTAGAATAGCATTACAGTAGATTTTACATATAAGCAAACGTTTATTGGCCGAAGAACCATTTTTGCAACTTGGAGAAGCAAAAAGATAAACTTTGTTGAAAATTATTTACGTTCTTAGCTGTGTTAAACGGATATTAATTGTAAAATGAGCACGGAACCCTATGTTACGTCTAGCCCAACACGCATTTGACCATTTTTTTTTATATAATGGCTTCCCAAGATCAGTCGCTCTTCATGAACCAATAGCCATTGAGCATTCATTACGCTAAACCTGTTGTTGAATATTTAAACTCAATATTTCCTTAACAAATCTAGATTCATACTTCAACACGATCTAAGCTACCGAAGCGTGAAATTGTTAAAGTATCTTCAGTGACGCTGTTCAACGGAATATTACCCTTGTCACTGAGGCATAAGTTATATTTCAGCAAATACAAATCGGCACTTACGATATGTCGTCAATGGTCGCTCTATTTCAGTATCGATTCGTTCTGTTTTACTGTTTGTTTGTTTATTGCTGGAACGTGTATGTATGTATGTATGCACGTACTTTCGGGAGAGTGGTGAAGTTTATGAAATAATATTCGGCCCCGACCTAAAACTGTTTTGAGCTGGACTATGATGAATTCTTATAGATTTCACAGTATTGAGGCATTCTTGTTCATCGATATTTTTTCAGATCTTATTATTAAATACATACAGTGTTATTAATAAACAAGCGTTGGAGTAAATTAACGCTGAGACTGCATTTAGTATTAGTCAAAATTCATATAAATAGACATAGATTTAGAAAAGATTTTGCTCGTAATAGACGAGGTTCTACGAGAATAATATTTACTCTTTGAAGGTGTTAAGTTTGCTTATTCTATGTATAATATGTATCTATTTGAACTAATACTAAAATTGCATTTTCAGCTTTAATTTACTCTGACGCTAAACCTTGTTCATTAATGGCACTGCAAATGACGTGTTCGTTATGTATTTCTAAAAAATAAACACATTGTATTTTCGTCGGACCATGCTGTCGAATATGTGTAATCTAAGAGGTCCGCCGACCGCAATGAGTGTGTTTAGCCAAGTCATAATACGACTTGTTTTTTTTATTTTTTATTCGATTTTGGCTTTGAAATTTTTTAAAATGATTTAATTTTTCCCTTTAGTGACGATTAAAGTATACAAAGTATATATTTTTGGAATGTAGTCATCAATACCTTCAATTTGATACCAACATTGCTATAATTGAAGGGGTTTTATTTATAAATGACGTCATACATCCACCATACCGAATATTTAAAAAAAAATGGCCGTCGTTACTCGGGATGCTGTAAAGATTCTAATGATACATTATACATTTATATTCGTTAAGTCTTTCAAAAGTAAAGGTGAAAAAAGACATTTACATACATACGATACATTCATTAACCCTAAACACAATACACTCCTTTGGGTAGTTGTGTAAAAAAGACTAAATCAAATAGAAAATGTAATTAATAATAAAAAACTGTAACTGTGTTCCGAGAATGTAAGTCTAGAATAATGGCTCTTAAAATTGATTGGGCTTCAACCGATCTAAGAAAAATACTTTTCTTCGCATCTTCGCATCTACCTCTTAGCTCTCCTAGAGAAAAGGATGTAGAATATATTAGGGTTCACTCAATAATCGAAAATACTGGTCTAGAGGTGGTCGCTTCATACATTTCAATACAAAGAATATGTTTGTCCCTGGCACGTTCATTGAAACAACTTTCATGGTGTGATACTATGTCGTAACTTAAACTTTTATAGTTATTGCATATTTTTTGTAATTGAATTCACGACCATTGAAAATACCAAACATGATGATTCAATATAGATTGTTATCCAAACAATCTACTCTCCTAATTGAAGTCATTCGTTGAAGTCCAGTTAACACCTTTGAATATGTTAACAAAATAGTTATTATGTATAAACTGTAATGTTGAAGTTACTTATAAGTATTATATTCTTGAATGACGATTGTATCGCTACATGATTCAAGTTTTCTATGTTTGATTCATATAAACAGATAACGGTAAACAAGCAACTTTCGTAAATGTCGCTCAAAGGATGGGTGACTCAAAATTCAATATCTCGAGCTCTTCTGTGCACGGTAAACTGTTTGTTCCACCTACATATGCATTCATTAACACGGTGGGTCATGGTCCATTCTAACTATTTAATTTGATTCCATACATGGGGAAGGAATAAGCAGGATTTTTTTTCTTATGTCACTAGCTTTCCGCCAGCGGATTCACTAGTTTGGTTTGTAGGTAACCGTTTAGTGGGATAATAAGTAAAGTATATGTACAGTATGTCAAATTTCATCCAAACTTGTTCAGTAGTTTTGCGTTGAAGAGTACATACGTAAATTCATACAAATACATCCTTAAAAACTTTCCGCATTTATAATATTTATAGGATTTCCTAAGCACACGACAACATTTAATTTTCTTTCAATAAACAATAGACAACTGATATAGGACATTTTCTTATCATATATTTAGCTTGCTTAGCTTGTAAATCTTCTACGACGTTAGCATAACTTAAGAAGATACAAGCTGATCACAAGAGTACATTATCCGATTGGTTCAGAATACATTGTAACCATTATTTCACTATGAATATTTGGTTATTTCCAGGTGTGATTGGGTTGATATACTTGGTGATGTACATCTGCATCATCATTTTCTTCTCCATATGCATGTGTGGGCTAATGGCGACCATGGACGACAGAGTGCCGTATTTCATGCTCGCCGACTCCATCATTGGTGAGTGATTTAAAAAATTACACACTTATAAATTGTTAACTATATTTTTCAGGGCCATAAGATAACATAATAAATATTTGAAAAAAAAAAAAAACACATCACTCAAATCTCAAGTTAAAGCTTTGGTGATAAGAAAATCTGAAGCAACGAGGGTACACTCTCGTGGCATCTTAGAAAAGTTTATGGAATCCGGTATCTGAAAAATAGCGATAGTTTCAAACAGGAGTTTCTGTGTGAACCTCTCGGCCATGCAGGACGATGTGGTGTTCTAGAACATATTCTTTTCTATTTTATTAGACGAAATGAATATTCTTTTACAATGATGTTCAAATCCAAATCATTCATTCAGACTAGGCACAAGCACTTGTGAAAGCGAAATTTTATGCCATCGGTTCGTAAATCTACGGCAGGAGATCTTGCACCGAGGAATACCGACAAGAAACTTGGCAAGGGCTGCTTTTTTCTCCCTATTTTATTTAATACAGAGATGTCGAGATTGTAAAATGACTTTATTAGAATATCAAGTCACCATCAGAATATCAGAAAAATTAAAAGAGTATATATTAAAATAAATCACTCGTCAGTTGATTCACATGCTGAGTCAATGAATCAAATCAATAATAATGATAATGTTACTGTTAATATTTTTTTAAATACGCACACTATACCAGTACCAACAACATACATACCTAAACATTCGTAAGGGCCGTTCATATGGGGACCGAAAGTCTATTATCGTGAGTTCCTTCGTGCTCTAGAAGGAACGTTACGCCGTTAGTCTCGGCTACATCTGCAGTCAGTAACTGCCATCAATCCCGAGCACTGAGCCTGCTTAGTGGGTCATAGCCTATCTTCCCTATTCGATTTCATCCATAGAGAATGTGCTCCAGGTAATATAACTGGCATCGTCACCCATTCATTCGCCACACCTTGCTTAACTTACGATCTCTTTTTCTTTGTCGGTTCCTCATGACTGTAGATCATGGTTAGCATCAGGGTTGCATCTAGTGTGAAGGAATTAACTCGTATGATAATAATGTATGTATTTATGTTGATATCAAGAACCACTATTTTCGGTTCCAGGTGATAACCCCGGCATGGGCCATCGTCCACTGCTGTTCGAAGAGGGGGCCCTGATTTGGTACCACCCCTCTAACAGCAGCCAGGTCAAGAAGTACGTTGACAACATCGATCAGTTTCTTGCACGTGAGTTGCCTAATGTTCATATTTATGTCACATCACTTTGAAAATTAAATATCATAATAACCTATTTTTGTGTTGATTCGTTTTCCTCTAGCTTTATGATTAAGGTTTTAAGCCTGTTGCTTAACATTTTGACAGCCTACGAGAACAAGAGCTTGTTGATAAACGGCGGTGTGAATCAGATAGACTGTGGTACTGTGAAGCCGCCCCGAGAGGAAGTGTGCTCCTTCGACCTGAGCCAGTTGGGCCCCTGTTCCAAGGAGAACAACTACGGATTCACGAATGGAACACCTTGCATAATCATTAAATTGAATAGGGTTAGTACTGTCTTAAGTTTATACTGGGAAAACTTTTTAATGTCGTTTAAGTCAAACTTTCTATTTTTAAGTCTAATCTGCAGTGCAAAAGCCTGAGACTCGACATCGGGCACAGAACTGTTACGGTATAGATGTTCAATAACTTTGAAAGTAGGTTTTTGTTTTATTATTACCTAAACTTTAATACATTATAAATTGTATGCAATATAAATTTATATTTCTTGGTTTTTCAGTTATATGCATGGAATCCACATTTCTACGATGACCCCGGTGATCTGCCGTCAAATATGCCACCTGACATAAAGGATTACATCAATTCAACTAAAACACCTGAAGAAGTGAGTAGATAAAGGTGCTTACTTGATTGTCTTAAACATGTTTTCACTATTTACGGTGTTACCAAGTCATTAAATCTTTATATTTCCGTTTAGTTTATTTTAATCCTTACTAAATATGTTCCAGCGTCGAAAGGTGTGGTTATCGTGCATGGGAGAACGGCCTGGCGACGTGGAGGCGTTAGGGCCGTTGAAGTATTATCCTTACCCGGGACTCTCCGAAGTCTACTACCCGTACGATAACACCGCGGGGTATCTCAGCCCTATTGTGGCTGTGCAATTGCTACAGCCAAAATGTGAGTTTTACGGTTTTTATATCTACTTACCTGAAGGCTTTCTCTTCTTTAGTTTTCTTGAAAATTGCTAAAATGTATTGCTGTTAAAAACATTTTACCATATACCTTCAAAATTATAACATTGTCTCAAAGCATTTTTGTATGTATTTACAGGGCATCAAATCATCAATATACGTTGTCGCGCTTGGGCTCGCAACGTTCATTATACAGACAGCCTAAAAGATCGTCTAGCCTCCACCCACTTGGAGATTATGATTGACTAAGTTGATATATTGCAATCCAGTATCTATAGAGAACAAAAATGACCCCAGCAGCACGCTTCACTTAAGAAATAAAAAGAGTCGATGTTAGTCAGTGTCATTTGTTAGTCAAATTTAATGAATGTGTAATTAAACAAAATTATTGGAATGAGACTAAAAATAAAGATGGAAAAGAGAATTATCAATTTTCTGATACATGTCGTTCCCTAAACATTTGTACTTTAAGGGAACTATTTCTACTATTTGCAAATGAAAATAAATAATTAATGTTATTATCATAGTTTCATTGAAAAGTATAAATAAATTGACTTTTTCTTCCTAAAAAATACTATCAATTGTTAGAGTCATGGTAAATGTGTATTTATTTCTACTGTATAGATTTCATGTTACATAAAACTAGACATTGTAATTAAAATGAGCGAGTAGATAAAAAAGGGAAACAAAAATGAACGTTGTAAGTTGCTAATTACCGTTTGTGTTGTTTTCAATTAGGTTTTACGCAAGATGATTATAAAAAATCACGTTTTTCTTACTTATATGAAAATATTGGCTTAAGTTTTAAACTAATATTTATTAGTTTGCAGAACCATTAACTACACTTAACATTTTTTTTTCTCCGTGTATAGTAGACCGATATTTCAAAATAACTGGGGGACAATTCTACTAAATAAATTTTGTTTAAATCGAATCGAAACGGATCGAAACCGAACGAAACTACAGTTTTTAACGGTTTTCCCATTAAAAATTGTAGTTTCGTTCGGGTTCGATCCGTTTTCGATTCGATTTAAACAATATTTATTTAGTAGAATTGGCCCCCTGGAAGCGTTCTGCCTTGTGGAATTTGGTAACAGCGGTTTGCATTTCATTTTGTTCTGTGTTTCTGCCGAATAACATTAATACTTCGACGACATATTGTTATTTTTTGTTTGAATGTCTTTGAAAGTACTACAAAACTTGTAAGTTAAACTACAAAAAATCAACATAGCATAAAAATCATCAACAGTTTTTGTAGTTACTAATATTTTTGTTTATTTCAAGTGGATTTTATTTATATCTATGTGTTTGTCCGAGGCTACGTTGTAACCGATGTCACCCGCATATGATGTAGCTTCCCGTAGATAAAATAATAATAAAATTGGTCCAGTAGTTTTGGAATTATACGACAAAATTAAATCTTGCTTTTTTTACTATATAAAATATATATGACTCATATGAAATAATGATTGAAACGAACATCAGATTTATTTTATTTTAAATAAATTACAAATTAATCTCACTCATCAAACATGTAACATACACTAATTTTGAGACCCAAACACTCTTAAATGTATCGTTAGGAAACTTTACAAATTTTACATTGATTTTTCCACTATTTTGTTATTATATTTTTTTTCGCTAATACATATTTTTGTTTTGAAATATTTCATTCATTTCTAATGATAATAAATAAATAATATGAAAAAAATATTTTTGCTTTGGAGGGAACTTTTGATCACGTAATTTATAAGTATAGCAAGCAAAATGACACTCACAATGGTATTATTATCAAACCATTCGACATTATCTATTATAATAACACTAATATTTTCTCTATTCAAATTGAAAGGAACTTCAATTATCGATCTTTCGGGTCTTCTTTATGAAGTAATTGAACTAGAAACATCTCATGTTAAGCCGCCATCAATTCTTTGGTATTTTCGGATCTTTGGTCTTAGCGTTGTTTACTGCTACTGTGTTCTACTCGATCATGATTTCAATATGGACGGATCCCATGCCCTCGTGCCTGTCGTACTTGATATTGTGCGCCCACGCACGACACTCAACGTTTATCAGCATTCCCGCTGCAAAAGGACGTATCTTGTATTAGCTACATATTAATAAATTTATTTCTCCACAAAAAACTGAGCAGTTATTTTACTGCTTAATCAAAATATACATTTATAAATATCGGCTTTCACTACATAACGGAATTTGTAATTTTAGGTACCATATAAAACCATATAAATATAGAAAAAAATTGTAGTCAATGCAAATAATTTAATATTGAATTCGTTACGATTAACTATATTCGTATTTTTTCTCTCTTTCTAACACGTTGTTACTAATGATGTGCCAACTGTGCACGAGGATTGATGACAGTTATTTGTCAATATACATACAGTTTCTTCAGTACAATTAAAAAAATATTCTTTGAAATGAAGTACGTAAAGTTCATTGGCATTAAAATAGACCGAGTGCCATTTCGGCTCGCATAGTTTGTAGCGATAGGCACATCAGCAAAAGACAGATCGATAAACGGACAGTAAAGGTGGCCATTTTTTAAAATACATATCTATCAAATCAAGAGTCTAATAAGGTCTTCAGACCATTTGACAGCTAAAATAAGATCTGTTCACCACATATCAGATAAAAAATACTTTTCGCCCAGGAATTGGGAGACTTCTTACAATGTATGATTGTCACTTTTAATAGAATAATAGAATCAAGGGCTTAAGAACAATGTGACATACATATTTGATAACAGCACTTACTCTTAGGTCTTTGCAGGTTGACAGCGACTAGCGGGCTGAGATAACCCTCCTGGTTGGTGTAAGGGAAGTAGTATCCGGGAAATCCCCGGTATGGCATGTATAGTATCGGTCCGATGTTCTCCCTGTCCGCGGGGTTCTCACCCCGGCACGATACCCACACCATGTTTAACTGAAATTTAATTAGTAAATGTAAGATTAAAAAGTATTTCTACTGTTTCAGTTTTTTTTTCTTCATGATTGGTTGTTCTATTTTTATAAACTTAATACCTTAATTTACCTACATTATTTCGTCGTCAGAGCAACAATTCTGCAGACTACATTTTTCTGAATCTTATATCACTATATTAATGATTTGTGGAACAAAAAAACACTTGAATAAAACGTTTAAAAATAAAAACTCGCAAAATTCGTACGCTTTCTTCTTACCTACTCCCAAGAAGGGATATACTTATATATCTTTTTGTTTGAAGACACTATTGCACTAAGGCTAGATCTTATTACTAACGGAACAATCAAGGACAACTCTTAAATTTTATTGGAACCCAGAATGCGATTTATATATATTTTTTTTTAAATATTCAAGTATTTGTGTGTATGATTAGTGAATCTCATATTATTGAGCTGATAGAAGGAATTCCTTAACAATTCCATCTTTTCTAAGTCCGGGAAATTTAATAAAATGGACAAACACCAGCAAATCCTCGCCCGTATTAAAAAACTATCCTCAAATTTGTGAATTAAGAAGTAGTTTTTATTTTTTAATTCGTTATTATTTTTTTAACAAAAATCTATTATAAACAGTGTAGAAACTATAACTTACATAATTCTTGTCGTATGCTGTCATATTCCTGATATGCTCTTTCAAGTCATCAGGCATATCATTGGGAAGGTGATCAGAACTGTTGTAGAAGTGAGGCTTCCAGCCGAAGATCTTGTTCAGTTTGAGGAAGATACAAGGCGTGGACTTGTGGAAGCCAAAGTGATTGTTCTCAACACAGGGGCCCCAAGCGCTGATGTCTACGTCACAGACTTTTCCAGCAGGCGGGGGCAGTTTGAAGTCGCAGTTGTGGATGTTCTGGCCGGCACCGGCCTTTTTCCCATCTCTTTTGTACGCTAGGTGTGTTTAAAAATGTTAAGGTATTTAGATAATATCCACATTTACAATCTTAAAATTTTGTAGAACCTCTAGCTTTGAACACACACACACACACACACACACACACACACACACACACACACACTCATCGTGCCCACGCACATTCACACGTAGGTAATCATGTTTTATTCTATGTTGCAAGTTCTTACAAACTTTTACAAATGTATACATTTGTATAAAATCCACAACAGTACCCTTAAGTAGTTAGTTATGAAATAAATTGTCATTCTTTTGTCGGGAGTGGAGGCCTGACGACCTAAAATACAGCTGATCTTTTGATTTTCTTACTTAGGCATCAGTCTCACACCAGAAACTCAATTGAAACAACTGTGTTTGTAACTAATTAGCACAAAAGACAATATCTTGTGTGATGAGAAAATACAATTTTAATATTATTATACCTATAATTAAAACAATCCCTATTGATATTAGTTCTAAAGTGTCATAAAAAGTTATTCAAATGACAATGAGATGAAATATTATTAAATCGATAAAATAATTTTCAGTAACATTCGGTTAGAAATCTAAATATTGACTATTTCTAAATATTGTTTGTTTTATCAAAGCTTTTCGACAATATTTAATGTGGGTGTACCCTTAATATTTCTGTTTATAAATCCAGCTTTATAAGCTTATAACTAAGATCAGTCTTGCTTTCCTATGGTGTAGGTAGACAGATAATTCATTTATTTGCATTATAAAATCAGTACACATGCATTATAAATTCTTTACAATAAAAAATCCACTTTAACGTTTGCGCCACAGCAATGCAAAAGGGTAATAGCTCAACGATTCTTTTGCTCAGGGAGCAAAGCGTTGATTTTCAGCCTTTACCCAGAGTTAGTACTCTGGGTGCTAGTGCACGATCTCAAACAATAGCGTTATTTAAAATTGGATTTAATTATTAAATGTCACAATAGTTTATTCAATTAACCAAAAACTGCAAAATTTTAATTGAGAAATTAATAAATATTATATATTGACTGTTACTATTAGAGATTATATATTTCAGAACATGATAAAACAGTATACATAAATAATAGAAAATCAATAAACAGCACAATATAATACATAATATTTATGTTTATTTTACCAATAGGGATGATGACTGGGTAAAAAAATGCAATTTCATTATGTCCGTCAGTCAGATAATAGAAAAATATTAGATACGTAATTTTTTTTACTTAAATTTAACAAGAAATAGCTTAGATAACAGGCATTAAAGTTGTGGGGTGGGGGCTCGCTACGTCACAGTTGAGAAGAAAACGTACCCTAACGTGACGCTATGCGAAATTTCAACTCCATGTAACGCCGTAATTTTATGACTACGAGAAAAATAAAAAAAATACGTGTTTAATATTTTTTAACACTCTACCTGACGGAAAAACAAACAAAAATTAATCATCATCGTTATAGTCGGCTGGAGTTAATTCCCAATTTTTGCATATCAAGTAGATTAGTTTGTTTTTTGAATGACAATCGAGATGTAAGTAGCATTACCGGTGGTGGTATATAGTTCCAGCATTTTGTCTCTTGATAACGGAAACTATCCCTAAATGCCACAGTTTTATGCTCTTGGATGACCAGTGGAGGCCTCACGGCTCTTGGTGCTCTCAAATCACGAATACGGAATGTCAATTTATCTAGCAAATACTTCAGATTTTTTTACTTAATCATGTCAATCATTAACATGGCCAGATGTAGGTACTGGCGCAACGGTTATATCCATATCCATAGTATCATGGAGAGAAGAGGCTTACCTGTCAAGAATTTAGACGTTTCCTTCACCCAGAACTGTTGGCTTTTGGGATCATTGCCCTTATACCAGATGACGCTACTCGCAACCTCTGGTGGCATAGGTCGGAAGCCTAGTCCTGGGTTGGTGCCGATAATGCTCTTCTCCAGCTGCCACATTGGTTCCCGTGCATCTAGCTGCTGTAGGAAGGTCCACATGCAAATGGCCACTAGGAGTGCCAGCGCCAGGTAAAAGATGAAGTAGAACAGCGTGATTTTGGCTGAGAACAATAAAAAAAACATACGATTACAATGCTTCTTCATGTTTGGAATACTAGCAGCTAGCAGCATTAGTTTAACGAAATAAAAGAAATAATTCAGCTGTCCAATATTTTCACTTATCCATCATCATTCAGGACGTCTAGTGGCTAACAAGAAGCATTTGAGCAAGACTCTTACTAAGAGTAACAATAAACATATAATTATTACCACTTAAACGTACAAGAGCTGATTACAGGGTCTATGGTGGTTCAAGCAATTTGTATTATACTCTATTAGACATAAAGGAAACTAGTAGTTGTTTTTCGCCGGTTCTGGCTCACGGTTCTCGGTCGATCTCGATCGGTCAGTCGATCGGTCAGTCGATCGGTCGGTCGGTCGGTTGTCAATCGGTCGGTCGGTCGTTGGTTGGTTGGATGGTCCAACGTAAAAAAAAAAGTTTGGTGTCAAAATGGGGGTTTTCGAGGGTGCCCGATCGATATCTGCGATCCGTTTTTCTCTGTCTTTATCCGTTCCTGATTAAGCTTATGCACATTATTATCTCAAATACAAAATGTCTTTAACAATTAACGAACAAATGACTGAATCAATTAACAAACTCGAATTCGCAAATGACTAAATCAATTATCGAGCTCGACTTCCTATTGTCATAGATCAACATTCCTTTGATATGTTACTGGAGTTTAAAAATAAAATATAAACAAGATTTCCATTTAATACTTTATTTTATTTTCAATACTACATAAAACAATATTTAAATATGTTAAATAACAATATGTCATTACTTAGGGTATGGTTGTTAAAGTCTCTTTTAAACTCTGCTAATGATTTGTTATTAAATTTATATAATAAGTACATTAGACAGTACTGTCCACATCCTGAAGTCCAATCATTTTGTATCCATGCATTATTAAAAGTCCATCGTCTTGAGTTCCTATTCAAAAACATTTTGTGCATTTCTTTAGGCGATCGACCATATGAATCAAAATATTCACCAACACCTTGTCCATCTATGTGTATGGCTATCCAGTGAGAACCTGGTTTTGAATCAATGTCCAAATTGCTTGAGGTAGACAGGAAGTGAAACATAGATTGGTAATCGGTTCGCAGCATACACATTATACTGTAACTTTGGATGAATCTTTCTTAAACATGTTTGTATTTGTAAAGTATTCATGTTTGGTAAATAATACGACTTATCTTTCAATATATAACACTTAAGTGAAAGACTTAACGAAATATAAGATATGTAAACAGTTGGATTGTTCGGGGTTTCAAATTAAAGCATAACATAGTTTCAAAAATAGTAATTTATTAACACATCAAAACACAAACATATTACAGTGATATCTTATTACCAAACTAACTTAATACAATACTTATCAATAAATAATCTAAGGTTACAAACAAAAACATATTATAGATAATATCTTATTAGTAAACTAACCTAATTAATACAATACTCATTATTCTTAACTACTATAATCAACGGTTACATTTCTATTTTTATCTATTTCAATAACATTATCAAATTCTGCATAAATAATACAGTTTATTGTTTGAGTAAGAACAGTTTCAAATCGAACTTCTAATCTAACACTACCATGTCTTATTAGATTCCAATGATTCGATGAATTGGCTGCTAAATCAGGTGTGAGATCAAATGCTAACAAACAATAACCTTTTGCATACTTATCGCGAGATTTTTTAAGTTTATAATACTGATCATTTTTAAGATTTTTTGCTAACTTCTCAAGGCTACATGGTAAAAATTTGAAGGAGTCAACAAATCTCAACTGAATTGTTCTGCTGTAAACGTTGATGTTTTTGGTGAAAGATATATATCTGTTCTTATTTTGTGGAATTATATCAATTTGACCATCAATAAAATTAAGTCCATGTACTATAGAGTATAAATCAAAATGACTTAAGTTAAATACTGGAATGAAATTGGGGGCTCTAAATTTTTTTGCACATAATTCATGTGAAACACCTCTAAATTTTCCTGTATACCAATCGAAGTCTATAAATTTGTCTTCATTTAAACTAGTTTCACAAATATAACATATTGAACAACGATCTATTTTGTTTTTGTCTTCCGCAGTTAAATGTTTTGGAGTTTTCTGGAGACTGTTTTTAACACAAATTTGTTTTATATTAATATAAATATAATCTATTCATAAAAACTTAAATACAATCTGGTCCACTATAAGACTCATATTTTGATAAATTATCATCCTAAGAGCACTTGATATAATATCCAAAACTATAAGGTTCGTGTTTTTGTACATTATTGGTATATGATATAGATGGATCATCAGAATTTAATTCATTAATTGGATTTAAAAAAGCTTAAAAATCTCCATATACAACAAAAGGAATTTTTAATTTTCGTTCATAATGATCAAACTTTACTTTATCATCAGGTACTAGATTTCCAAACCAATTTTTAATTTTGTTGTTACGACTTGGTAAATTGACAGTGACATGAGCACAATCATTTTGTTGATGGTCTGATAATCGTTTACTCGTAGGGAAGTATAAGAAGTATAAACATCCATCACATATGTGAACAGCGTGACAATTATTTGAAAGCTGTTTGCTTACCAAACGAGATAAATTTTTAATATAACAATAGTGACCATTTGACCCCTCACTAACATATAATAAATTTATGTGAATGCTTTTACGATTTAAAATACAATGGACCAACAATGCTATTTTGTTTAGTCTTTTCGTTATATTCCAACCCGAAGACATTAATGCTTATATTGTTAAATTTTTCAACTTTGTCTAAGTCATTTAATTTGATTGGAAAAGACAAACCATTAAAATTTAGTTTGTTTGAATGCATACTGTATGATGATACACGACTTACATTCTTATTGACTGGGTATAATGCAGATAATAACGCCCAATTAAAACACATATAATCTGAATTTTGTATATTGATAACAGCTTTTTTTGTTTTAATATCGTTTGGTAAATCAATATAAGAAGTACCACGAAGTGGATTAAATTTATTAACGTTCATGTCAATACTTTCAATTTCTTTTAGACTCCATCCACTATCTTTTTTCTCAAAACTACTTAATTTATTTATTAGAGTAGTACATAAAGAGGAAAAAAAAATATTTGAGTCATATCCATCAAAAATTGTAAAATTATTTGTTTGAAAATCAAAATTATTCACATCGGTTTTGTTTTGTTTAATAAATTCTGCATGGAAAATAAAGTTTACTTTAAAAATCTTAAGAGTTTCTATGAATTGTTTAATTAAATAAAATATATTATTTTTGATAGATTCCAAAAACATTTCTGGAGTTTGGAAGTCAAGTTCATGATCTTTGTTAGCTTTATTACAAATTTTGTAAGAAATAACTCTTCGACCAAAAGCTGATTCAATAACAGACACATTCTCAAGACCATCATGTATTCGGAGAACGATATTTTTATGTAGATTACTTTCCAGATGATTAGTGAAATATCGTTTAGTAATTTCTGTTTGACAAGCGTTACAAATTACTATTAACAATGTTACCTGTGTGGTGGTGTATTGGTGTATTAGTCAAAGTTGAAGATGTTGCTATTCCATTGAGTCCAATACCAGTCGATGTTGAAGCTGTGTCTATCTGTGATCTTATTAGTTCCAAGTTTTGTCGTTATGCATTTCCCTCATGGATAATACTTTCAGAGCCCCTTTTTAGAGATCCACCAGCTAATGGTTGCAGTTGACTAAAATGAAATAAAAAATTATCCAAAGGCAATAAATATAAATAAAATTTCAACTTTACAAGAATATAAAACATACATACGTTTTGTTAGTTCCATCCAAATCCTGATGGAAGTCTTTAAGAAAACAAGATGCAAACAAATCAGCTTGTTCAACTTCTTCACACAACTGAATAGGGATGATGACTAATTTTTGTTTGTTTGTCCGTCAGGTAGAGTGTTTAAAAAATATTAAACACGTATTTTTTAATTTTTCTCGTAATCATAAAATTACGGCGTTATATTAAGTTGAAATTTCGCATGACGTCACGTTAGGGTACGTTTTCTACTCAACTGTGACGTAGCGAGCCCCCACTCCTCAACTTTAATGCCTGTTATCTAAGCTATTTCTTGTTAAATTGAAGTAAAAAAAATTACGTATCTAATATTTTTCTATTATCTTACTGACGGACTAAATAGAATTGCATTTTTTTTACCCAGTCATCATCCCTATTAATTCATCTTCTAGTATTTTATCTACTTGTGTTTGTGAAGTAAAGAATATCCTCGTACATGTATCTATTTTTATGAGACAAGTGAAGTTTGAATATTCATATAATTTTTTTAATTGATTGATTATTCGAAATTATTATAATTTTAAATATTGCTTATTAAATAAATTATTTATTATAGTAATTAAAAACAATTTTTATACACAATATTTGTTATTCAACACTTATTGTCATGCTATAATTATTGCTTTTTAAAACTATATTTTTTACAACCATCTGTTGTACATATTTCTTTTGTCATATTATAAATTATTTGTTGAATTTGTTCATAATTTTTGTTTTTTGGAGTTGTGTAATATTTTATCCTCGTCTCGTCGGTATGTTTCCAGTGTTCGTTTGATGGTATCTTCGATTTTTTTTTCAAATTATACAGTTCTATTTTTATCAAATATGATGCGTTTAGTTCATCATCTTTGTTTGTAGAGACGAATGTTGTATCTCCACTTTTTTGTATTCGTGAGACTGATGAAGAGATTTTCTTTTTGTTCTTCTGAACATTAGAACACTTTAACTTTAACACTTTAACTCATCAATATTATTTGGTTTGTCAGATACAAGCTGTAGGATTGATCTTTTTCTTTTTAATATTGGTTCGTTTGTAATTTCCAATCCCAGTTGAGTTTCACTATCAGGTGTTGTAAAATAGAACCCTTTGAGACCGATCAACTGACCGATCGAGATCGACCGAGAACCGTGAGCCAGAACTGGCGAAAAACAACTACTTAAACTTCCCCCTACATTATTCTCAAAATAATTATAAATAAGGTGTAAAACATGCTTTTAACGAAACTTTTTTGCGACAAATTATTAATATCCTTTTCGATCGATTCGATCGATTTTATCTCTGTACTAAATCTAGTTAAGATCAGTTCAGTGTAGGCATGTGGGCGTAAGAGGCATAAAGAGCGAATTACTTTCACAATTATAATTAGTAGGAATTGTTTCTGAAGTAGATTTTAGTTTATAATACATATTTCTTGTTGATATAAGGCAAACTGTTTTCCCGCAACACAACCCGTTTAAATTATTATAGCCTATGTCGTCCACGTATGTTGTCTTTTAATAAAAACTCAGATTCAGTATATCCGAAGATATTTCAAACAAAGAAAGTCAGCAACTTAACTTCTTTAAAGTATTAGTATCGTATATAGATACAGATACTAGTGTTTGTATGGCCTCATGTGTAGTCCTGCCGTGATCGGCGTGGTCCGGTTATGTCACGCGCGCGCACAGGATGTTGTCTAATGACCTCATTGCTCCAATTCCGCGGCCGTCGCGACTTCCGCCCGACTCCTTCGGGTTTAAGTGACGCGTTTACTCCGCGGACCCGCTTCCAAGAAGGGTATGAGAATTTGTATAGGCTGATTTATGTATCATTATATAACAAAGAACCTGCCAAATGAGACTCGGCCTCTCCCACCAAGTGTTCCGTAGCATTAATTTCTATGAAAAAAGTAAAAAAATACGTTTGTTATTTGGGTGCCCCTAAACCCTTAAACAGTAATTTTCTTTTTCAATTATCTAGCCATCACGATTCGTGAGATACAGACTGGTGACTGACGGACAGCGAAATCTGAGTGATACGGTCCCCTTTTTATCCTTGGGATGCGCAATCCTAAATATGATAAGGGATACTGAAAAGAATTTTGATTTGTTGGAAGATAATGAGTAAGAAAAGGTTGAATTTCAAGATGACGTCTGACCATAGAAGTATTGTCTTTATTTACGTATATACGTATTTACGTAGTATATGAAATAATTGGGACAAGTGCAAGCAGGTGATGATGAAGAATGGAGCAGTTGACTGAATGGGAATATACGAATATATACGTTTACTGGAGTGATTCACGACAACACAAATTTCTTATTGCTCCTGGCAATGAGTTAAGGACAAAGGACGACGCGTAAAATACTCGCATTTATTAATTAATTACTCGCAAATCATCCTATTTATCTTAAAAGTGTTGCATATATATTCCGGCTACAAATTTACACACATAATTATAAAAAAATAAGAGTCAATTTTTCAGCAAATTTTTGTGGCGAATTTGTTTTTTATAATAATAGAATTTAAAAAAACCCGTTTCAAATCTTACAAAAATATTAGAAATAATATGTACCTAGTTTCTTTATTTTTAATTACCGCATATTTGGACATTATAAAACCAAATGATAAAAAATTTGTTAAGTTGTTATATTAAAATACTCTCAGTTTCTAAGATTTCCCTTATAATACAATTTGTTACCATATTTTTATTTTTCTTTCTAGGTTTTGTATATTTTTTACTGAGATCCGGCAAAGAGCCCGCCGGGTCCAAAGAAGAGTTACCCTACTAGACCATAGCCAATATAGAAAAGTTTATATTTTAAGTTGACTCGACCGGGAATCGTACGTGGGACTTCAAAGACGACGACACCTTGAAACCGGTGTGTGAGCCACTTGGCTACAGAGGCATATTAATATGTAACACTTTAATACTCACACCAGCTGGACGCGGTCCTGCCACAGAACTCTCTCGTCTTAGGGTTCCATAAGTATCGTTTGAACTTCTGCCCCGTGGTCATCGGTTCCTCCTTCTCCCTGTAGTACAGGTTGAACCGTTCCAGACTCGTCAGGTCCGAGGGCCGCTTCTTCACCGTCATCTTGTCGAGTTAATCTTCTGAAATAGTCATTAAAATTAAGTATTTCAAACGAGCAACGTATTGCCCGAAATCGTTATGGTAGATGCTAATTTGCTTAAAGTCGTAACTTTAAGCAAATTAGCATCTACCATAACGATTTCGGTTTGGAGTTTTTGAATATATAGACATAAAGCTTGTGACAAAAAGGTGCAAAAATTTTCTAGCGATTGATACTTCGGTAGGGATGTGGAAGTACTATGAGTCATTTAAGAGTATGGATCAGTCAGTAACCAGAACGAAGATTGGTAAATGAAGATCTGTTTTTAACTACTTTGCAATCATTTAGTAAATTATTTTTTTCAACCAAAACGACAATTTAAAGTCGTGAGCAGTTTTTTACTTATTGTATGCAGACGTGTTATAATATCATAACCTATTTTTTTGTAAACTAGTTTATTCAGATAAAATTTACAATAAATGCTACCTAAATGTTAATTAATTTATAGAAAAACTTTACGCGACCATTGACCACTATTTTATATTGTTATTTTATACTATTTTATTTTATAGCGGATAATGGTCAAATTAATTACTATTTATAGCAAATTAATTAATATTTATACTATTTTATAGCGGATAATGGTCAAATTAATTGTGCAAGAAGTATAAATAATTATACAATGGAAAATTGTACTAAGACATTGCTTTTAAAAAATCAGTAAATTATATATTACGAAGTTAGAAATAAGCATCTAAAACAATTTATTCACTTTTTTGTTCAAGAATCAAAATAATGTAACATCACGCAGAACTTTATATAAAATTAGCTTATATTTATTTGCAAGTTTCCTTTCGTCAGGCTTCAAACTACATATATCGTTTTCATCACAATCGCTGCGGCTGTAAAGTTATGAAAGCATAACAAACAGAAATCTTTCTCTTTACATAAGTATTGAATAAATTAATGAATTATTATTTCATTCAATACTTATGAATTGATTATTCATTCATTCAACGCTTATTTATTAACGTCCATTGCTGTATTGTACACCAATAATATACGTAATGAAAAATGCTTAAAAAAACAGTTTACCCCGACGTACTATAAGTTGGGACTCGAATCCACGACCTGATCACTAAGGTAATCACTGAGCTACCCAGGACTTAACAGGACTGACGAATCTTTCAAGCACTTTTTCTTTTTCGCTACTAACGAGTGTATTTCATCAATGTTCAGACAATCCACCCAAACAAGCATGCAGAAATGATCGAATATTATGATACAATAAATTATTATTTTTTAATTTATTTGATATTGAATAATAATATACAATTTTAAATTGTTCTGTTCTTTTAAAGTAACCTTTGCGAACTGGACAAAATTATATATAGATTTCTTATTACTTGTTCTGTGTAGATTTGCCCGGTCTATTCTGTTATATAAAAATGATCGAACTTGAAATCGAATAAAACCTACATCAAAAGGTAATAAAGGTTCTATTTCATTGAATATCTATGAAGGTACAGCGCTGCGTTCAAAGACGAGTTCTAAGCAATTTCTTAACTTAACAGTATAGTTAATAATAATTACAATAAAGGCTTGTTTTAAAGAAAAAAGTAAAGAAATAAAAATATTTAGTCACCTGGATGTCGGTGTACCAGCGGGCGGCGCGCGTGAGAGTAGCTGCCGACGAGTGCGCCCGCGCAGCACGCATCACAGGATAATGGGATGGCATTAAGCAGAATAGCCTCTGTAACCTAGTGATTTTATTATTCGTTGGAGTGATAAATAACTGATGGATAAAGTTTAATAAAATGATTTGAATATGTCAAGGATCAAAGGTTTTTTTTTACTGAACCCTAAAGAGTAAAAAATACACAATAAATACAATTACTGGTAGTTTTAATTCTGTATTCTATTTAGGAAAACATAGCTCGTAGCCCCGACCTTCTATTTTGTAACCGGGGCAGAATCTTGTCCCCCCCCCCCCTCCGTGGCCCAACAGTAGTAACATGTATATTAATATGTTATAATATATTTAGTAATAACAAGTATTATTAAAAGGAAACATGTGATTGTTTATTTGAATAGGCTCCGAAACAACTACATTATTTATACACTGTTTTATTGTTTATGATAATGTATTTTTATAATGATTGTTTTATTTTTAATGTAATGTTCCTTAAGATGTGGCGCTTTGGCGATTCATTGTCCTCATTTGCATAGCTGTGTTCTTTTTTTTTTCTTTTTTATAATATTCTGCGGCTACGTTTTAATGTTACATTATATATTTGGTCCATACTATGCTCACTTGTTTTGTTGAGTTACGGTATGGTTTATTCCTTAGTTATGTATATTTATTTCAATTATATTACTGTAACTTGTTTTGTGAGCTAAATAAATAAAATAAAATAAGATAAAATTTGCTTATGGCAGACATCCTACTCTGAGCTCTGGTCCTTTTTGATTGCTGCAACACATTGTCGACATTAATTCTAATTATCTTTTTTGTATTTTAATCTTTTTTTATTTAAATTTTGCTTAAATCGTTACTTTTTTTATTTGAATTTAAAAAAGCTCTATCATCTACGGGAAGTTACATATAATACGCGTGACTTATGATATAATGAGCATGGGCTTCGCGGGATATCAACTACTATTGGATGATAAAAATTGATTACGTAAGAAAAAAAAAAGGAAACTGCTATAATTTTTTCATAAAAAAGTAGGGCTGAACATAATTCAAACTTTCAAATTGCAATTCACTAAACTTTGTTTCAGTTTCCCTCCAACTCATATGATGTCGCTTGTATAGCGTTGTTTTGTTCACTACCCAGATCGCAATATAAAAACATAGTGCAAAAATAGCTCATCAAATTGTCACAAAATATACGATTTTAAGCAATTAAGCTTTTAAATTAATTTTCAACAAACATAGGTTTCGTGAGATTGAGTGTAAGACATTCCAAAAAAATACTGACGTGCAATGATTCTCAGTCACTAAGACAATACAAATATTTTGAATACAATTAAAGTATGCGAGGTATTCTTTATTTTGAAGAACTTTTTACTAAAAAGTTTAAAAATTAAATTTGTATCTCATTTCAACAGTCTATTTACGATGTTTCGGAACAAGATTTACGTATGTGACCCGGATCTTGTGAACTTAGTTAAATACATAAAGTTGTGTGTTTCCTGCATATAGCGGTTCCTCCATCCTCCGGCCGCCCCCTCACGCGAGCACAGTCCCGGTGATGATGTGTCACGCCGTGATTAATGTGTCTTATGTAAGGACAACCTGCAATAGCTCTTACCTTGTCTGATAATGGAAAAGACTAGCACGTCACGATCATACAGTATAGCATATAGAGGCGCTATATATATTTGATTTTATTTATAAAACAGGTTCATAATCAAAGTAAATATTGTTGGTAGTACAAAATGCCATTCAGTCTAATTGAGAATCACTACCTTATTTGAAGTCGGGAAAATATATGACCAGGAAAAGAGTTCAAAAAAAGTCATTTGTGTAATAATGCTTCGTGATACAGCTAAAAGTCAGCGTTTACCGCTTTGTAACAGAAAAAAGACGGTGAAAATTACGTTACAGGATCGATAATTAATCATTGTGAGTATCCGCTAAATAAGGGCTTCCTCGAAACCTCTTTGGAATATGATTCGGTTATAAATCGTACATCGACGGCGGTCGATAAATTTGAAAAAAAGAAACAACAAAAGATATTACGTGCCCTTCTTCTTGCGCGGGCGCAACGTCAATCATATCAACGCGTCGAGTCGGTTAGGGGGGATAAATATCGATATCGATAAAACTATTTCCATTAACAATTGTATTCACATTGTTTGGTATACAAGTGTGTCATTTTGATATATTATTAAATCTACTTAGAAAGATCTTAATTTATCAGTATCACTTTCGGAATTATAATTTGCTATTTCAATTTATTGATAGGGATTTTATTATTAAAAAAAAAAACTTAAACCCTATGCGTTTTTTAAACAATCATTAATTCCTTCTAAATTAATATTTGTTGTTGTTTAAAGTTGATAGAGTTCAATTATTCATTTAATTATTGTTTTTATTTGTTTTAATTATAATTAATTCCAATAATTAAAACAAATAAAAACAATATTTAAGGAGAATAAAATTGTTAATACTGAGAAAAATGTCATAAGTGATACTATAAAATATATAATGCGTCATATTTTTAGCTTATTAATAAAAGTATATATTTTTTTAAATAATGTGTGGTGCTAATGGTGCTTAATTATCAATTTGTTATCTATCTGCAATATTTATGAGATCAAATAGGTTTAATTAATAGCGTTTAATATTATGTTAACAGATGAAAATGTCGATAAACAAGTCTGGTGCTATCGATATTTTCAATGATAACACGTGCTTCCTTATTTCACATAGCGGTACACTGCAAGGGGTGAGATAACTCGCGCGCAACGTCTTCGATCACGATGCGATGTAAGTTCGCCACATGCCAGGGTTGCCTCCTGGTCATATTAAGGTACTTTCTATATTTTAAATACTTTATTATCAATTTATATTTTATAATTCAGTAGAGACGATTAACTTTAATTCAGGAATTATTATCAATGCATAATTTACTATCAGTATGCAATAAAATCGAGTTTAAAAAGGTTTATAATCTATTGACTACAAAAAATCGATTAATTTGGTGTCATTTAAAATTTCCAATCCGTGTTTAGACGATATATTTTTTTATGTAGATAAATTAAATAAAAATGTACACTTCATTTAGTAAATCTGTCGTAATTAACACAGATACAACCCTATAATAAGACAATAAGTAATTCAGGCAATTACATGACGTTTGGTGTCAGCTCTGATACATGATGGGTATTCGGTTGAGCCGAATTCGATATATAAAGGTGTCCTTGAATGTTTTTCTCAAACGTTTCGAGGACTTGCATCGAGATGGGTGGTCATCGTCAGCTCTCGTTAATTGTAAGTTATTAACATAGTAAATAGATCATTTATTACGTTTTCTGATCTGAGTATGACGAACTTATGATAGTTATTGATTGGATTCTAATGTGCGGTATATTGGACATTTTATTAATATATTAGTGATGATAAAATGAATATCCGGGAGTCATGTAGGTAAAGTATGTTTTCATATTTATTAAAAACATGAGAACGCCCGCCGTACTCTAGTGTTTAGATCCCTGTTTAGGGTCAATCCCTGTTTACAAACCCGCAAGGGGTAAATCAGCTTTTCTGTGTGGATATCAAAGCACTTTTACATTTCATATTACTGGTTACATTTAATAAAATAATAAAAAACCTTAATGCGGAATATACTTTCAAAAGGGATTAATCAGTTTTCCTAATATTTCATAGGAGTAAAAATCCTTAGTTCATAGGAGTGAAAGGATTAGGAGCCTAAGGAACTTAAAGCCTCTTTGGTTTGGACACAGGGCGTAACGTAATCTAAAGACAAGAGGGGCTACTCTGTTTGGCTACCAACGAAAATTACAAAAATTTCGAATCGTTCAAATTAAAACGATTAAATTTTAAAATTATGTGCGTCAATATTGTCTTTGCATCAGGAGCAGTATCAGGGTCCTACCTTCGTTTTATTTTTAATTATTGAAAACTGTGTTCCTTTAGAGTCGTGTTAGGGTTTCAAAAAAATACGAATTATTAATTCGTTGAAATAGAGTCGGCCTCAGGACCTAAAACTTGCCAAGAACTTGAACTCAAATTTCTCTTTCTATTGTTGTTTTCTATTTTCTAGTGGCTCTACATGACTTTGTCATAAATCAAATTAAAAAAAAATCTCTTCTAAATACGAATGAGCAAGCTTTAATTTTGTTTTGCCGTAAATAAAAAAATATTTTAGTTTTATGTATCTTCACTACATTGTATAAAACAAAGCCGCTTTCTCTGTGCTATATCCCTTTGTATGCTTTAATGCTTAGAACTACGCAATGGAGTTTGATGCGGTTTTTTTCATAGATAGGGTGATTCAAAAAGAAGGTTTTTATGTATAAAACAAGACCACGCGGGCGAAGCCGCTGGTGGACAGCTAGTTATTAATCAGTTTATAAACTATGTGTTTTGCAAATGTTAGTTTTATTTTTGATTCATTTTATAAAATACAATTTGTAATGCATTTTATTTTCTATTTCAGTTATACATCATCATAAATTTGTATCATGTGGCGCCATCTGAGGTAAAGGAAGGTAGGAAAGTTGGCCTCCTTATACCGGAGAAGATAATAGGTGGCGTTATCGATATCGTTCATAACCACAAGAACAAACCAGGATCACAGGGATCTTATCAGCAGCAATCTCAGAGTCAGCAGATATATCAGCCAACACCAGGATACCAACCACAGTACCCTTCTCAGCCTCAATATCCACAGAATCAAGGAAACTACCAATCACAGTATCAGAATCAATATCAAAACCAATATCAGCAACAGAATGGCAACTACGCGAGTAATTATTACTATCCACAGGTTGGATATCCAACACCTTCGCAAAATCCCACCCCGATGTACCAAAACACGATTCAACGACCGAACTATGTAAACCAAGGCCAGCAAGGGCAATATCAGACCATTTACCCACAAAACCAAATTAATCAGCAACATCAATCTTCAGGACATTATCAATCTGGTCAGTTTCAAGGAGGACAGTATCAGCAAACTGGCCAATATCAAGGTGGTCAGAATCAACAAACTGGTCAATACCAAAACAGCCAAAATCAGCAAACAGGCCAATACCATGCCACTCAAAATCAGCAAACTGGCCAATACAACGGCGATCAAAACCAACAGTCTAACTTTCAAGGTCAAAATCAGTCAGGGAACCAAGGAGGAATGAATCAACCCAACAACCAATTCCAAATGCAAGGTCAAGGCTCCAGTAGCACTCAAAGCGGTGGTTTCCAAGTATCTGGAGGTTCTCAATCTGGTGGCCCTGGTCCAACCTGCGTATGTCAAGCATGGACTAAGCCTGACCCTCCAGTTATGCACGACCCGACACAAAAAAGCCAAGAGAAGAGTGAGCCCAGTGAAGAGAGCAACAAGATTTCTGTATAATATACTATTTTAGAGCAATGTTGCTGATTCTATACCGATTGCATTTAATTTAAATTAGGCTTTATTATGCAGTCATGATCTCTATTATTTATTGATTGTAAATTGTTACAATATAGCTAAATCTTGTCTGGTTTCTGCAAAGCTACGCCCATTAAATTAATTAATGATAACACCCACATCATAAATTACAAGTAATATTATAGTAAATATAAGATTTAAATAACTCTCAAAATATCTATCAAGATAATAAAACTTTTATCCGAACTTTACAGAATTACGGGAAATAAATCCTTGATAAAGCAGGCAGAAAATGGAAAATTTCTCTGTATGTAATGTAATTTTCAAACGAAGTAACGTGTACTTGTCTTAGATTATATTAGTACTTGTCTTTATTTATTAAATAATTTCATGAAATTATATTGTCATTGTCATTTTTTTAAGCTTTAAATAAATATATCACTATCGTAACAAAAACTAATAATGTAGACTAATAAAAAATCTGAACGCGACCATTTTAACTCAACGACAAACTTAAAGACAATATAATTAATTAATTTAGTTATTTGTTTTTTGTTCAGAGTATCCTGAACAATTTTATTTTAAGATTTAAACTTTATTGCATAATTAAGGCGCATAATTGGCAAATTTAATGCCAATAGGCAACCTCTACCAGTCAACCGGAAATTATGTAATAGAGAATTTTAGTACTGAAAAATTGGTAGATAATGATTAGTAATTAATATACACCGGATATCGTTGGAAGGAAAACATTTTAAGCCAGTTTTTAAAGTAGTATTTACTACTAATGTTATAAGCATTTGATTGTTTGTTGATAGGCTTGGTTAGGCTCTGAAAGGGCTGAACCAATTTTGAAAGTTATTTCACCTACGGGCGCTACATCATCCATCACAACTTCTCCATAATCTTTATTCATTTCACCTTACCAATTTTTATTAAAAGAAACATGCATATAAGGGTTAATATTGTTATGACCATTGGTATATACATATTGCAGGCACTGCAAACTAGATAATTATGTTTTGAAACTTTAATGAAATAAGAAATTGATAAACAAAAATATTTCCTAGCTTGATTTTTTTTTTCTAAAAGGTTTAACCGTTCACAGCCGTTCCGAATGTGAATGATTGCAATCACAGAACACAAAAAAGCCAGGCCTGCGTTTTATGCTTGCAATATTACGATAAATCAGGCGTTTATATTAGTTATTATTATCTACTTAAAGAACAAAAATAAATTTCTCAAGATTCATATTGAAGTACTTAAAAATATGAAAGAAACTTCTCAAAATAAATCCTAACGTCTACATAATAAGATCGAAATACAGTAAGGATATAGACTGAACACTAACCAACATAAAAAGGACTGGTTGAACGTCCTGTTAGTTCTATCTTAAGGGTCACCGCTATTTATTAGAAAACCAGTCAGAGCTGAGCTATACACTTATAGAAAGTGTAAGGGGTGCAACGGGCAACGTCGCTGGTCTTCAAACTAGGTCTGAATCGTGCGCGCGCCGTCTTTACATAATCATTACGTAAGGGGTGACTGGGGGTTGTTGGGGCAAGAGGGGAGGTGAGACGTGCGCGGGGCGAGGTAACACGGGGCGAAATCGTCCGCAATCGATTCCCATCCGCAGTCCGGCTTGGCGTTTCACAATGGCAGACAAGAACAAAGTAGCTGAGCAGTATTATGCCCCGCCGCCGGACCTGGGCAAATGGGAGGCTTTCAGGATTTTCCTATGGAACTCGGAGACGGGACAGTTTCTCGGACGCACGGGGTCCAGTTGGGGTGAGTTTTATTTTATCACTTCACCTCGCAGTCGAGACAGTTCCAAATCATTTTTTGGAGGGAAATCGATTATATTTTCTAATGTTTCAGTTATTACCTAATACAAATAATTATATTTTAACTATTATATTTTAACGTATATTTTCTAATACAAAATAAAAGAATAAAATAAATTACTGCCTTAAGTTTTCGTAAATAGAAATCTGTTACGTAATTCTCTTTGATATAATATGTAGGTAACTAATGTGCCTAGTGTTTAAAATGAATGAACAGATTAGATGTTAGTCCTAACTTTGTCACGATCAATTATAAAACGACCTTGATTCTCATAGATTTATTGGCTTTAATTCGAATCTACACAAAATAGACAAGAACTGAGACTGGAAATAGTGCTTACTTTAATAGTATAATATTTTAGACTCCATATCTTTCCTAGCAATTTCTATTGATGTTCCTTCTACCAAATATAATGATTAAAATTGTTTCAATAAAAAACGGAACAGAAATTAATTTCATAATAAATAAAAGTTCAACGGATCGATAACGAGCTGTCGTCGACCTCATTATATCAGTAACTTTTAATTTAAAATTTCCGTTTAAAAATAAACACGACCACAGACTAAAAACATAGATTAAAAAAGTTGCGCGTATAATTTTCGCGCCGGATTGCGCGCGCCCCGTCCTTGGAGGAATCGATCCAAGGACGCCCGAACACTCACGAAGAAATACGACAGTTGACAGTTATGCTTTATTAAAACTAATGGTAAAGAAAGAGAAATAAATTGTTTTATTCATTTTCATAAATTAAGTTTTCAAATCGACGAGGAAGTATTTTAGGAAAAGAAAAAAAGTACTAAAATATATGTCACTAGATGGCGGTACAATATTGGAAGCATTTCTGTCAGTTCGTAACATGCAACATAAACGTCAAAACGGACAACAGAGAGTAACCTTTTTCAAGAACTTCTTTTTTCTTAATAAATCTGTCTCTGTATTAAATATTTGTTAGGTTTTTAATGCAACTTATTTTGATTTGGTCTAGACTGTTGTATAAGAATTTACTTTACGCATGCTTATCACAAGTCCAAAGCCAGGCAACCAAAGATAATTTAAATATTACGCAGGCTACATCGATCCGTCATTAAAAAATATGAATCGTAGTAGGCTACGATGTAGCAACTAGCAATGTATTTGTACATTTTTATTAACTATTTGACATTTACCAAAGACAGAGTTATTTTATGCCAAAGACATCTTAAATATATTCTTTAACTTAAACGCTTATTTTAAATACAATTAAAATAGGTAAAATATATATAAAAACACATATTTGCGTGGTGTTGATTTAAAGACCCTACATAAAATTTATCTTGGCTGTAACCTTGTGCCTGTCACCAAGGGGCAGTGCTAACAAAGCGTCGTTTCATAATAATTAAAAAGGGTGATTAGTGCGCGTGCGTAAAATGCGCATGCGACGCATTCAGGTCGAGGCTGACAGGAGGACGATCATCGCTCGTAGGTAGTTACAAAGACTTAATAACATGTTTAGAGAAAATGTATCGAATAAAATTAAACAACTCTAAAAGCTCTCAAAAGAGCGCGCACATTCAAAATATCTAAGGTTTCAAAATAATTAGCTTTTGTACAAAGTAATAACTTTCCAATACAAAATGAGACATACTTTAGGTTCTTTCACAGCAAAAAATTGAATTTATAAAACTTCTTCGATAGGAAAAAACCACATAGTTACTCTTAAATTTATAATTTTTGTCATTTCTTCTGGTTTTAGGTAATCATAATATATGGAAAATTGGTAGAAGCTTGAATGAGAGATAAAGGAGATCTTTGTAATGCATAGGAACATTTTTGATTAATATTATTCTATTTTACTTAATAATAAATGAACATTTTCGTATTCAATTTAGTATGTTCCGCGATTATATTATAATTATAGCAATTCTGTTACACGATGCACCAACTATAGCCTTTTTTGTTTTAATCCCGTCAATGTACGTATTCTATTATTTAAGTAAAAACTAAGAGAACAGCCATAACCTCATAACATAAAAATGTAAAACAGTATAAGTGAATTCTTTGATAGCATGACCAAGAAATATCTTTAAAATGGACTCAAACTAAATATTTTTTTGGTCGATTATTTTAATTAAAAAATATCTTTATTTTTTTAATAAATAAAATCAAATCTAGAATTTTGTATAAGTATTTATAGGCAAGATACCCAATTTTGAATTCAAGCTTTCGTTGAATTTAAAGTCGTACAAGAGAGTGCTCTCTACACATATAGAATATTGACTTTTGTTTTCTCCTTCAACAATTTGGTAAAAACAAATTTTTTTTTTTTTAATTGTTTAACTATATTGTGCCCTTATTTATACAAATAAAGATTATTATTATTATTCTATATTATTCTATAGTATAGTAATTATTCTATAGTATGTAATCATGAACATGATAAAATATAAATATAAGATGAATAAGTCGGTGATATTTAATTTATAAAAAATATTTTAATTTTAGTAAAATACGCGATCTTTTGTTTTCTTCTTAGACAAAAATATGTCGTCGATGTATTTTAATTATTTGGCAGCCTTATAGTTATTTTATTAAGAAAACATAATTGCATACCCGATTGCATCCCGACGTATTTAAAGTAACGAAAATTCAAAATAGGTCCAAAATTCGAACATAGTACCTCATTTCGATTTTATAATCTATGAATATTTGCTTTTTTATATTTTTTATTGAAGTGAGGATATATGACCTACATCGTCATTGTATGCAGCGAGGTGCATAATAGACATAGGTCATTGAGTGTGCGCACTGCGCGCCACTCGCACTTGTGTTATCCTTAAATCAATATATCCAATATAAATTATGTCTAAGTATTATGGCCGAACAGGCCAACCGTAGGGAAAACCTGTGCAATTACTGTGGGGATATTGATTAAAACTGAAAATGATCTTTATTATTCATAAACCTTTGTTTATCTATACCATTATTACCACTAGAAAGAGGAAATATATGATTCTATGGTTTCATCGAATAGGCTCTGAAACGACTGCACCGATTTTGAAAGTTCTTTCAATCAAATAAAGTTACATTATCAGCGAGTTATATACGCTATATTTAAAAAAAATAAAGGAATGAAATCTGTTGTAGAGGCAATAAAAAAAGAGTATAAAAAGTCTACTTCAATAAATTAATGTTAAAAAAGAACTCTATTTGGCTGTAAAATATGAAATATTTTGTTTGAAAATAATAGTATGAGGAGTTATTTACCTGAATTTAAGAATATAATTTTAGTTTATTTTCTTTTTTTTCAGGATGTTAAAAACTAGATACTTAATATAAATAATTTCTTTTCATAGGTTTTTAAGTTCAAAAACTAGATAAAAGCATTCATTTTTAGGATTCGGTAACCTAAGGGCAAAACGGAACCTTATTACTAAGACTTTGGTGTCCGTTCGTCTGTCTGTCCGTCAGTATCTCTGTCTGTCTGTCCGTCTATCACTAGACTATATCGTGATAGTTAATTTTTTTTACATATGATGACGTATTTTTGTTGTCGCTATAGCAACAATATTTAAAAATATAAATAAAACATATCATTTTTGATATAATAATGGTACAGAACCCTTCGTGCGCAATTCCGACTAAGCACTTGTCCAGTTTTTTTTAAATAATTATTTAAGACCCTGTTATTTATTAATCAATAGATAATTTATATGTCACGTTCTTTTTTAAATTGAATATTTAAACCTAAAGGAGAAACCTTTCTGAAATAGCTAATTCGCAGTTAGTTATTAAGAAATGCGGCCAATCCTGTAGGAAACCGCTATTGATGCCACTTGGAGCAATTATACAAACGATACAGACCTACTGACCGACAGACAGTGGTACCTCTCACACTGAGACGATTCAATGAAATGTGACAGAAGACGTAACAAGACATAATCTTGTTTTCTCATTTCAATTGTAATTCAATTTCAAATATAAATAATTATTATGTATTAATGGTTAATATTTGAAATATTTGAGTATGCGCTGGAATTGCACGACCTAATTCCCCCCTCCCCGTTCTACCATCGAACGTCTCGACGGCCGGTATCCATCCTTTCGTCGTCAACATTCCTCCTTTAAAAACGGCGCGATTCGATTCGTCATTTATGATACGTACCGCCAAGGACTGGAATGAATTGCCAGCGTCTGAATTTCCGTCTGATTATGATGTGAATGTCTTCAAATGAAGAGTGAATAGGCTGTTACTATGTTAATGCGCTATACCACCCAAGGCTTCATCAAGGCCTATCGGCAATAAGTTTCTAACTATTATACAAAATAATATTAACAACTAATATTAGGATTAAAACTACTTTTTGCCAACCAGTATATAACCATTGAACTAAATTTGATTGATCTAAGAAAATTATTTAAGAGATTACCCCAGGCACCAAACAGGCGACGAGCTTGCTCTATAAACTGAGGATAATGAAGATCTTGACTATTTGTCTCTTTTACTCTTTGTGAAAACATATACCTTTATAAGTACATACCTACATAACTACCAAAAATAATAAAATAAACTCATATTTTCATTAATAATAATCAATATTATGTATAAAAAATGCGACATTGATCTAATACAATAATTCTATTAATAATTAAAAAAAATATTATCCTTCTTAATCACTGTCATTCTTTTACAGCTAAAATCCTTCTGTTCTACTTGATCTTCTATGCGGTGTTAGTGGGTTTCTTCGCGGCCATGTTGGCCATCTTCTACCAAACCCTGGACTCTAAGATGCCGAAGTGGCAGCTAGATAGTTCGCTCATCGGTAATAACCCAGGTAAGTAATGTCATCGATAAATTGGTAAATATGTAGTAAGCAATTAATGGACTATGTTTGTACGTGGACCGAGATAATCATTAAGACTCGCTCGTTGATAATACAAGCTCTAACAAATTTTAAGAATAATATGCTATTGCTAAGATTGTAAACTAAGTCATATATCAGACAACTAATGTCATTTGCTTTAAATAAACGGAAGAAACTACTGAAGTCTAAAAAACGTAAAACTTTGCTGAAATCTAAAAAAACGTAAAACTAGGCTAAAATAAACAATGTATTACAAAACCTAGATCCGGACTATATAAAAATTGGTGGGAATCGAACTCGCGACCTCTGATGATCGAAGCGCTCGGTCATAGAGGTCATCTCTTCAGTACCTAACAGTTGGCGATGGTTGTGAGGTTTGTGGCCGCTAGAACACATGAGCACTTGTGTTATTTGCGAGCGGTGCACAATATAACTTTCAAGTAACTGAGTGAGGACGGAAGTTGTTAAATATCGCAGTTGTTCATTTTTATATGATTTAGGTCTCGGGTTCCGACCAATGCCTGACTCTGACAATGTGGAGAGTACTCTCATCTACTACAGGGCAAATGACAAGGGCTCCGTGCTGAAGTGGGCCACCATCATCGACGATTATCTCAAACGTAAGTATACTTACAATGTAAAGTAATAATTTGTAAAGAGACCAGGATATAAAGGACGCAGAGGGTCTGACTACCAAGTATTTTTCCGGCTGGCATCAATTTATGTATGTACTTTAGTAAATATGTATGTACTAAAGGGAAAAGATTAATTCTAAGTTAATTGCAAAAATATAGATTTATTTAATAAAAGTAAGCAACATTAATTATAAATAAGACAAAGTATTTGACAAAGTTCTAGCAAAAATTAAATGATTAAACTTTTTTGATATTGTATTTGATTATATTGTCAAAAATTCAGTATTTGAATACTGGATCTAAATCCTTGTTTTCCAATTTGTCATTATAGTAATTCTCATAACTACGGGTTTTAAAAATGGAGAAACATCTTTGAATCTCCAGAATACCGCAAGAAGGGCAGCGGCAGCGGTGAGGCCACCGGTGCTGAGAACCGCGTGGCGTGCAACCCCACCAGTGGGTCGCGTGACCTCGGCGAGAACCAGGTGTGCGACGTTCCCGTTGACGACTTCCATCCCTGCACGTCCGCCAACCAATACAACTACGAGGAAGCGGGCCCTTGCGTTTTTCTCAAGCTCAATAAGGTGAGTGCAATATATTAATTATTATCTTAATCTTATTCTTCAATTTACAGCTGAATAAGTTTAAACGCGAGGATGTTGCAGGCATAGAATTTAGCTCTTTCAGTCTGCTATTAGTTAAGCAATTAGATAATTTAGAGCTTTTCAAGGTAAATTTAAAAAGGTAGGTAATATTTTTAATTGGAAATGTTATGAATTTGGAATGAAATAATTTATATAATTCCATAAATTCGACAAGTTGTAATACAGTGTAGAGATAATACTCTAATCATTAATTCCCGATGATTTTAGATCTTCAACTGGGTGCCAAATCCATACAATAACACCGAGGGTTTACCTGGCAACATGCCTGAAGATCTGAAGCAGCACATCAAGATGGTGGTATGTATTTTGCTTGAAATCTGATTACGTGTTTTAAATAAAAAAATAACGTTTGATTTACATGTTAATATTAGCGTTTTTATAAATTGGCACTTTCTATTGATGAATATGGTAACAGTATGGGCATAGAAAACTTATGTCGTCTGCAAAGTCTTCTAATGACAACCTTCAATAAAAATTATCACAAACAGTGTGAATATTTAGATATTACCTTATGGACAGGCAACAACTTAAAGGTTGTAGTTATTTTTGAAATTGTAATGGAAAGGAAAGGAAACCGTTTTTCAAATTAACTTATCTGTGTGATATAAAACTAGAAGAAAAAGCAGCTTATGCTGATTTTTTGCTGGTTCTTCTCAATACATGGTCTTTTCGATTTACACAAATGCTTTTGAATTCGTATTGGGTGATTAAAAGATATCGATTTATTTGCAAAAAAATAAATAATTATATGTTGATTTTCCTATGTTCAGTCTGGCAAGCCCGAGGCAAACACCGTGTGGGTATCGTGCGAGGGCGAGAACCCTGCTGACGTAGAGAACATCGGCCCGGTGCAGTACATCCCGCGCCGGGGATTCCCTGCATTCTACTACCCCTTCACCAACAAAGAAGGCTATCTCAGCCCATTAGTTGCTGTTCTCTTTGAGAAGCCCAGGAGTGAGTGTGATCCAATTAACGTTTGCGCTACTGAAAACAGGAGATCACAATTTATTTAAATTTTGATTTCATAGAAAAATGTTAGACGTTTTCATTACCTCGCATCATAGCGTTATTTCAGTCGGACTAGGTTTTTAAAAAGCGGCTTGTTTTCTTCGCAGCGGGAGTCCTGATCAACATAGAGTGCAAGGCGTGGGCGAAGAACATCAACTATGATCGTTACGAGCGGCGCGGCTCCGTGCATTTCGAGCTGATGGTGGACCGCGGGTAGACGCCCCCCGCACGCACCGCTCCCGCGCCCACGCGCGCCCGCGCCAACACTATACCACACACGTACCCTCTCTTTCTAAGGCCATCTACAAATTAAATGCTCACATCTTGTACAGAAACAGTGGCGTAGCTACGAGTGGGCGAACCTACCGCTAGCGACCCGTGCTTATTTTCGGCAGGGCCTTGCCTGGTGGTTTTGAGTTAATATTATTTGACCAGATCCGCTAGAAAGTTGAATATGATAAATCATCAGAATTATGAGAAAATATGGTAGAATAGGGAGAGATACTGAAATAATGACGTCTTGATTACTCTACGCTACGCCACTGCCTGCAAGAACCAATTTGCTGCTAATGGAGTCCATAATAATAAATACTGTGTAAGTTAGAACACCATTACACGCTAACTCTGTATTACCATTGTAAACCAGAACCGTTATTTGTGAATAAGTACGATATTTTCAAGTAATGTCAACAATTGCATTAAGCCAATACCAGTGCAGACAATAACAATCATATATTTTATCGGTATCCACATCCATAAGTCCTACAGGGTACTATAGCATTCCTGGCCTTGACATGATATGGGGTGGAGAAAATTGTCTGTGGTTTTTTTTCTGATGACTGAAGCTGTGTGTGCCAAGTATGCTGTTAATGTTAGGTGCGTCTCCGCTACGCGCTGGCATTTTATCCATCACATAATTGAGCCTACTCCTGAAGCTGCAATCGTTCTTTTAATAGCGTTTAATTTGAAAACGGTCTATACTTCAAAGTCGTTGAGCTGCTATTTTGAATATGACGGCTATTTGTGCATTTTAACTGTGTGAAAAGTTGAGTTTGATTCTCTCTTCTGTACCACATCAATTAAGGATAGTATAAGAGAGAGAAGGCACACTTCTGTGATAAAACTGTTCGGTAGCAGAGTGTGAAAGAGACGGTGACAGTGGTATCGCGCGGCGCCTGCGATATAGCAATAGCCACATAGTCGGCGGTTACTTTATATTCGTTTTAGAATAAGCCGAGAGGCCCCTATGTTAAGTTTTCGTTTCCACGCTTCAATTCTAAATTATTGATATTTATTATTATTAAATTATTAATGTATGTTTTTCTGGACGATGTGTCAATAAACACGCAATAGTTGATTCCGTTTAGGAATGTGATGTGTTTCATTTATTTATCCCATAACATCTTTTCTCCTTTAAGACATCAGCGATAGGCGAATTGGCAATAACGCTTTGGTTTGGTTCGATACCAATCCTTATTCATCAGATTCCAACATCCTTGACCAAATTTCTATAACTAACAATCTGTGTGTACAAATAATTAGAAACAATGAAAGTATCTCAACAGCCAGACTCAAGGCAATATAGAAACGTTTATTTGTCTACATTGGTCCAACTAAGAATCTAACCCGAGATCATGACTTGGCAAAATCTTTATACTTGTCACTTGGTCAAGGAGGTCGTCATATCAACATCCATTGAGGCGGAGTGGACGTCTCGCTTAGCAAAGCCGCAAAAAAGGTTTTCCTACAAAATATTACTCTGTTCCACTGGCATAGACCTAAAATAAATTAGCTATTTTGGTTAATAAGAATTAATAGAGTAGGTACAATGCCTATATTAATACTGTAAAGACGAATCTATAAATGTGGCAATAGATACATTCAGAAGTTGTATGATACGAGTTACTTTGAAAAAAGGCGGTATGTAGTTTACTACTACACTCCCAAATAAAAACAAATTAAAGTAAGTCTATATAACCCATTCTCATGCTTAAACCTTTTCTAGGCATTTAGCACTTCTCCTTCACTTTAAGTAGCACATAGGCAAAAAATATACCTATTACTATATCATGAAGAGGTTTTTAAAATGTTGCATTATGGCAAAACTATTACTGTTAAGAGCGTCAAAGTTCACTTCCTCGTAACTCTTAAAGGTTAAAATTAGGTCATAATCTTCAAATGGGCAAAACCGCGACATCTGCCCTAATCATTTTTATTTGTCTAACTAGATTCAAAATTTCATATAAAAGTATCTCCATCAAACACCCACCAATCCACACTGGGGCTGTGTCGTGGGCCGTAGCCTATTCCCCTATTTGATGCCACCCATAGGGAAGGTTTTTAGCCCAGCAGTGGGGAATTAATGCATTAGACTGACGATTATTAATATCCACCAATTCTATAAATCTGTCTCCATGTTTCTAAATATGATCAGTCTTCAAAACTGAACTACCTAAAACAATTAATTATGTTAAAAGATGTACAATAAATAATATAATCTATAATTACAAAAAAAAACGACTTTATTGATATTGCTTTGGCTTAATCTTTACACCCGTATTTATAAACAAGCAAAAGCCATTACTTAAGTAAAAGTAATTGCTCAAGTAACAATTTTTATTCTATAGTTAAGAATTTGCTTGACATTAGAACTGTCTACAGTTAGAATTCTTAGCTGAGTAATAGTCACCGCTTAAGCAATAAGAATACATTATAAATGACAGTTTCACTTGCGTGGTTTTAAATTGTTTAAGTAATTTCTTTATATTCCTAGGTTGTTAGTTGGCGTTAGAAGTATTTAGTTGGCGTGCTATTTTAGAATGGAAAGCATCGAAGCGATCGAAGCTACATTTGCTGTTATAGACAACATAGATAACGATATATTAGAGGAGATTGAAGTTGCTGAGCCTAGAAATCCCAAAGTATACTTTCGTGATGTAGATCCAGTACATGAATTTGCTGAAAAAATTTTTAAAAAGAGATTTCGTTTCTCATAAGGTATGCTTTTAAATGTGATTTTACCGCGAATTACAGAGTTTTTACAATCCGAAACTCGAAGAGGGCTACCTATAAGTCCACTGTGCCAGTTATTAACTGCCTTACGTTTTTATGCAACTGGTAGCTTCCAGATTGTATGCATGTTTCGCAATCAACAGTGTGTGAAATTGTAAAGAAGGTCAGCCGTGCATTAGCGTTGTTAATGCAAGATTTTATTAAGTTTCCTACAAATTTAAGAAAAACAAAGGATGATTTTGAAAAGCTTGGACGTATAGGAAGAGCACCTGGACTGAAAAATATTGTTGGTGCAATTGACTGTACCCATATTAAAATCACAAAACCTAGAGGCATTGTTCATACAGAACAGTATCGAAACAGAAAGGGTTATTTCTCACTCAATGTCCAGGTGGTTGGTGGCCCTAATTTAATGATACATGATATAGTTGTACGTTGGGCAGGCAGTACTCATGATAGCCGAATCTTTAGGAACTCACGACTGAATATAAGATTATTAAATTGTGAAATTGATGGAGTATTACTTGCAGATGGAGGATACCCTTGCACCAGGTAGATATCTTATAAGTTAATAACTTTAACTAATTTAACGTTGAATAAGGAATAAGTAAGTAGGTACTTACCAAGATTTAAATGTCTACTATATATTTATAAAATATGTCTATTTATAATTTAGGCTAGGCTTATGTCTATCAGAAAATAATGACATATAAACAAACACATTTTCGCATTTATAATATTCATTTGAAAAAGAAACTCATTCATTCCATTGTCACATTAAAAAAACTACTACCCGCTCAGCTAAGACCGTGACTGCACCTAATTCTTTCCACATAGGATTGTTTACCTTTACATACTTTGTCAAAATAATGCAAGAATGTTAATCTAAAAAATCATTTTTTATTTCAGATTTTTATTAACTCCAATTTCTAATCCCACAACTCTGTATGAGGAGAGATATAATAAAGTACAAATAAAATCAAGAAATTCAGTGGAACGATTATTTGGAGTATGGAAAAGACGGTTCCCATGCTTACAAAATGGTTTAGCAACCAAACTGTCAACAACTGCAAATATCATAGTGGCTTGTGCAGTCCTACATAATATAGCAGTGGAAGTGAACGACTATTTTGAAGATCCTGATGAAGAGATAGTCAATACAATTCAAAATAATGCTGAGTCTACCACTATAAGCGCAACGGGAACCACTGATGGTTTAGTACTTCGAGCTAATTTGATTGCTCGTTATTACACATTTTAAATAAAAATTATACATATGTTATTATTAAGCATAATATTTTATTAAATAAAATTTTGACATTATGACATACAGGTTTTAATTTTTTCTAATTCTTTCAATTTAATCTGTAATTCAATTTCATATATCTTTTCTTTGTGGTCTCTTTCTAATCTTTTTATTCTTAATTCTTCTTCATGTAGTTTTTTTTTAAATTCTAATTCTTCCTTTAATATTTCATATTTTATTGAATCAATTTTATTGCACTTCATGTCCTCAAAACGCCTTTTCTTCGATGTTTTATCATAAAGTATTTGCTCGTTTTTGTCCTCTTCTTTTTTTTGTTCTGGTACTGTACACCATGCGTCATCATTCGTATCACCCAATATTATTGTACTTCCTGTAAAATAAAAGGATATCTCATAAAACAGATACTTATAACATAAAATTAAAAACTATATACTTCTAATGGAAAACCAAAATACCAAGTAATTACCAAAAGTACTTTTAAAATAAATGTGATGGTATCTGAAAATATTTTAATTTTTTGTCTAGTGAGGATATTAATCTTGGAAGTGAAAAGAAGTTAAACACCTATTAACAGAAGTAGAACAATCTCTTACCATTTATGTCACTGTCGATATCCACTACTATATTAGTTAGGATATTTTTATCTATATCCATTACTTTTGCATCTATGGGATCCATATCCATAACAGATGGTCCTCCTCCAGTTAAGTGACGGACATTCTCTTTGGTTTTTGATTCCCTCGCTTTTGCCTTCATGTTGTACCATAATTTAGTCAATTGCTTTATCGATGCCTGAAAATTTTTATATAAATATTAATTAATACTACAATACAATAATATTGTAAAAATAATTATGATGAGTACCATAAAATGATTCTTATCTCATATAAAATCAAAGATACATCTTCGAGTGTTGCTTGATGTACTATTCATTATACCGAGATAACAAAGATCACCAACATTTTCTAGAACCTCTGTGTGTCATTCTATATCTATGCAACAAGAATGCATGAATGATGCAAAATTAATAAAAAGTAAAAAGTCGCCTATCTGTTTGGTTACAAGATCAAGCAAAAGAAATATGACTGAAGTGACTAATAGGTAAGTATGGATAAAATAGGTACCTACTTGCTGAGTAACAATAGAGGATTCATTAAATTCATGTAATATTTTCTCCCATGTTTGCTTCTTTTTTACGGCACTTGTAGCGTTTGTTTGTTTAGAGGTTAATATCGCATCATATTTTTGTATAACACTTAAGAACAACTCTTTTTCCAAACATGAAAACGGTTTCTTTCTCTCTACTTCAGACATTTTAGAAATAAAAATGTTAAGGTAATAAATTCCAAATAATTCAATACGACACCAATAAAGCAACTTAGCCAAATTTTCGGAAGTTTTGAAAAGTTTTTGACATGATATGACACCTTACTATGATAATAAATAAAAATCACATGTCAGTTGACTAGTCACAATGTAAATAGTAACCACCGTAATTTGGCAGTAATATCGTCGTGTCAAACGACAAACAAACGTTTTGTTTCATCTAATGTACTTTACTAAATATAATGTTTTAAATATACGTCTTTATTGATATAATCATTTTAATAACTATTACTTTTATTGTAATTGCACTATAAAATATTATTTAAGTTATTAAACGATGTGAAATGCAAGTTATTATCTTGTTCTCTTATGAAACGAAACGCAGTAATAAAATGTTGCCATTTGCTGCCAGAGAGAAACAAGCGTCGAGCATCGACCGTTACTTAAGCAAATGCTTAGACGAGTAACCTTTATTACTTAACTATAGAATAAGATTCTGTGCTTGAGAATTCTAACCTCAAGTAATGACTTAACTAAGAAATTACTTAGTAACAAGTAATTACTTGTTTATAAATACGGGTGTAAGTCAAGCAGTCTGTCCCTTGGTCAGTACTAATATTGTTTAATTTTCAATGAATCATAAACATAATGTTGCTCTGTAATCTGAGATAGTTCATTATGTGATGATCATTGTTTGCAATATCTTTACGCAAATTGACAGATGTGTAATTCGAGCTGATTTTCCTAACTTCGAGCAGAGTACGGGATAGGATAAAGATTTGTAGTTTAGATTACGGTACTGATTTATTAACTCGGTGATAAGTTATTTTTCTTTTTAATTATAATATTTAGTACGTTTGTAATTCAGTTTCAATTATTGACACATCCGATTTGCGTTAATAACATGTTGTTACATTTGTCTAAACTTTAAATGATCAATTCTTGTATATATATATACAGAAAAATCAGGGAAAGAAATAATGATATAAGTGTTTAATTTATTGCTAGAATACCCACTTAACAAAAAATAAAACAGTTGATAAACCATAGTTGACGAAACCAAACAGGGTGATGAACAGCGGTCGGAATAAGGTAGAGTTATTCATGTACTTACACTGATTTCATACAGCGAAAGAATAAAGTGGATATGCCTCAAATCCCGAGATTAATTTTAAAGAGCAGAAAAAATCAAGTGATTTTTTAAATAAAAAGTTATTTACTTTTACGCAATTTAAACTACTGCACGCACGACGTTGCCAAACTTACATCAATGACATCGGATATCCAAAGTTGCAAAATACCAATACGCGCGATGTTGCCACGAAAGTCCACATTAATATCAACATTTCGATGCAAGTACATAAATAACTCTACCTAATTCCGACCTCTGGTGACGAATGATACAGGTGGGCTGTTAATTGTGCCTGTGAGTGTATATTTATATAATCTCCAATAATTTTCATGAAATTTAGTAAGCATTGGGTTTCGGGGGTACGATATATCGATCTAGCAATTACCAAAGAGCAAAATTCGGTCATTCAGGTATTTTAATATACATAAATATTGACTACAGAAAATTACTTCTTGGAATGCTTGTTTTTATTTATCCCTGATTGGGCAAACGCGTGTCACCTAGTTTGTATAGAAGAATATATTTTTTATTATTTTTCTCTCAATTTTTCCTTCTCTGCTCTTAATTGAAGGCCCATAAGAGCTTACCCCGGCCTTCAAAAAATATTTTAAATCAGCCGAATCAGAATGCTTAGTTTCGAACGCAATCGCAATCGATCGACATTGCAATTGTGCCGTTTCGTACTCTTGATAGGTTATAATAGTGTATACTAGTGTAGTAGTAGTAGTAGCGTAGTGTAGCGCCAGAGTATTCTGGCGCTAGTGTAACGGCACAATTGCAGTATCGAACGTATCGCGATTACGTTCGAGTTTAAGCATGCTGAACAGCTGAGAGTAGCTCGGTGGCGTGAGTAGCTCGGTGGCGTAGTGGATAAGCGCCGCGGCCCGCGATCGTAGTCGTTAAGCAACTTTCGCATGGGTCGGTCACGGGATGGGTGACCAAAAAATTACTATCTCGAGCTACTCCGTGCTTCGGAAGGCACGTTAAGCCGTTGGTCCTGGCTGCATTTGCAGTCGTTAATACCCTCCAATCCGCATTGGGCTAGCGTGGAGGGTCATGGCCCATCCTCCTTAACCATCGAGTTTTGCGTTTACAAAGACATTTTATTGATTCAATTTTATTGATTGAAATGTCAAAATTTCCCGTATTAGCAAACAATTCATTACTAAATTCATTTTCATTGATAATAAAAAAATCATATGACCAACTGTAGTAATCAAACACAAATCTACAAACGTCTATTTTTATAACCTAATCTACCTACGTCGTAGCGTCGTAGTAAACTCGTAGCAAATATATTTCTACTAAAAGTGCTATCTATTTTAGTAGAATGTATGTAGATTAAAAACATCGATTACGAATTTATCGCCAGTGCCCTTAAGTTTCGCAATGTTATGTAAAATGCCTCACACGATTTAGGGCTGTCTTCTTATTATTGGTAGTAATTTACGAGAAATTAAATACATATCAGATAAAAAATTCAAAAAATATAAAAAAAATTAACAAACATTTAAAGAATGATTTTAAAGATTTCTCATTTAAAATATACACTTTAAATGAGAAATTATTCATACGTATGTGGTGGTGTTGGAATCTAAATACTTTTTGTATGTGTTGCTCCCTTGGTCTACGTAATAGTTCGGTGATTCAACGGTTTTACGGTAGAATAACTTATGCTTGTATGTTAGATTAAATGTTAGATCCAGCAGTATTGACAGCCCTATAGATCCGGCTTATGAAGAGTATCGCACCCCTCGGCGCCACAGCGGCGCCACGGACACCCTGTGGCCCACATAGAGTTCCTTGTCTCTGGTTTATTAGGTCTTGGGGTGCATCGTGTACCTGTCACAATTGCGGACAAAAGAAAGTGTACTGTTGAAATGTATTTTTAACTCAATATTTAAAAAGAGTAAAAGCTTTTTATTTATTTTTTAATATGGGACGACATCTAATATAGTATATTACTTAAATGCCAATCAGTTAAAAATATTTATTTGCAGAAGACATACTACACAAGAAATAGATTTCAGAACTTGCTCAATGGAAATCTGAAACAACCAAGCTAGCGCAAAACTTAGTTAACAATATAAAAAAAGTCACTCGCTACATTGACCCGACCGGTAATCGAACCCTTAGACATGTTTATCAACGTGTCTTTAGTATTTTGCTGTTAATTTTTGCAAATGATAAAAGTGGAACCAATTTATTGAATAATACACTTACTTACATTGAATCGTAATGCGGATCACTTGTTTATATGAATGAAGGCTATTAACTCAGTGATTCTGCCCGCTAGTCTGTCTCCATCTCCCGTTGTGTGGCACGATAATGTCGTCAACCCCTGACAAAATCACGTAAACACATAGTACACTTCTATACGTACACTTCTATACATAAGCCGCTTTGTCATATCCCTTACCAAGAGAATGTGTCGATATAATTTTTATCTCTGGTAATTAAAAAATATCAAAACAACAAATCATACGGTCAATTGCACAAACGTCTATTAAGGTTTAATGACGCCTTAAGTTCTAATGAATGTCAAATTTGTAGCTTTAAACTAATTTGAAAATTGATTGCCAACAAAACTGAAATTAAATAATTGTTGACATATAGGTTCAAATAGGTACTCAAAATATGAATTTGTAAAATTATAAGTTGTAACTTTAAACATTTTCACGTTATTTTAATACATAAACATGCGAGCTTTAGTTTATCTTTGCAAGCCATTAGTTTTCTAGCCAGCTGTAATATTCTGCTATAATAACAGTATAGAACTGGTCGAGCACAATGCTGTCACAATAAAGGTTTTATTTCATGGAACCTCTGTCTACAAAGCTGCGTTAGACGATGTGTTCAAGGCTGTTTTATAATGGAATAGTTTAGCTGATACCGATCAAATAATAATAAATAATAATTTAGCTAATAGTGTAAACAAATTTTTTAAAGAAATATGCTTTTAATCACACACCATCATCCCATCTCAGGGTACCAGAGGAAAAGTAGATTTTTTAAGCATTTCTCATAAAAAATATTTTCCATTGTGAATGCAAATTTGACAAAATATAATAGCGTTTTTATTTGATTTTCTTTTCTTCTCTTTAAATAAAAAATAATATAAAAGAAAATTTGAATGGAAATTTGGGATACTATGAAAAAGTGAAAGTTTTTTCCCATTTGATTTAGTGAAACTTTATCAAACATCTGTCAGGTCAACTACCCTATATAAAAATTTAAAGTATAGGAGTCTGTACACAAATTAGGGCGCAAGGGGGTTGCGAATTCGGTAAGGTCGAGGGCTGAGGCGGCGTCTGCGGCGCCAGACTGTCGGCCGCCCGCCCTAACAGCGCGCGTTCCATCCGCGACCCGAGCATTGGTCAAATGAGGGACTATACATTGCTGTTTCAAAAAAATATATTTCTTTTTTTTTATGGGATAGGGGGCAGACGGGCACACGGATCACCTGATGGTGAGTGATTACCGCCGCCCATGGACACCTGCAACACCAGAGGAGCTACAAGCGCGTTGTCGACCTTTGAGGGACGAATACACTCTACGCTTGAAAGTTTAAAGGTCGTATCGGTCCGGAAATACCGCTGGAGACATACTGTTCCAGAGTTTGACAGGAAACTTCTAGAAAAACGCACAGTTGAGGACTTAAAACCATCCAAATGATGGGCGTGGATGTCTTATCACGTGGAACGATGGCGGAAAGTCATATTTTACACAATCGAATTTCCATCTAAGTGTTTGTTTTCCAAAAACTTAGATGAAAACTTGACTTTCCTTTGTGCTTGTATTGGGAGTTTTCCATTAACACTGCGTTGTGTTTGTAGATGTTTTTAAAACTAAATCAAATCCTAAAGAGATATTAATACAGCTGAGCAGCAGCATCTCCTCAAGCTCGCTTCGATCGCCAAACCGCTACGGTAAATATTATATAGTGGTTAGCGCGATAGATATGTAATTCAACGTTAATCAAGATTCAATGGCCCATCATAGGATGGATGTTAAAATTCTATCAACTCGAGCTCATCCGTGCTTCGGAAGACACGCTAAGCCTCGGCTGCATCTGCAGTCGTTAATATTCGCCGATCCGGACTGGGCCGGTATAGTTATATGGCCCTTCTAAAATTCATCCTCGATAATAATTCGATTCTGATTTTTCCCACTAAAGGCAATCAACTCGATGTCCAAAGGCAGGTGCCGTAACTAGTTTACGACTAAAAGCGGCATTGTATATCATTCAAATGTTTATAGTAACCCGCGATGCCGTCGCTCCCGCATCCAGAGGAACGTGCGCGCTATTCCGCGGAACTTACTCTCGGTGCACGCACGCATTCATCCCACTCTCTATATCTAGAGTCCCGGACAATGGGCGCGGAAAAACGTACCGTCAAAATAATTGTGATAGTTGTCGTGATACTGCTTATTATTGGTGAGCTCATTATTTTTTAATTATGCAATTACGTTAGACTTTGGGAGCTATAGATAGATCGTCGGTTCTTTTGGTATAATAAACTATACCATTAGTTATTTTCACGCGTATATAATTTAAGTAACATCATACACGTAAGTAGAAAAGATGGCGTTCAAACCTTTTTGAATTCATCCCTGAAATATTCGAAACGTGGAAATAAAACATTAACTCAAAATCTAAAAAATCGTTGAACCTACATGGAGTATTACCGAGAGCTATCTGAGATATAATAAAAAAATTGGTTAAATAAGGTATACTTACATTGAAAGAATTAGAATTAAAATTAAAAAAAAAGACATTGAAAAATATATACATTTTTTTCTTATGCACTTCAAGTTCTGAGCCAGAAGCCCTAGTAATTCCTTTTGTTGTCTATTGCAAAAATAAGGATGCACATGATGTTATGATAGGTTTAGTATACTAAAGGCTGCCTTATTACTGAGAAATAATAATTTCCAGGCAATACATAATTAAATATTTGAACCATTTGTTCTTTAAGTTGTTGTCTTCGAGATTATTCTATTCATTTCTATACATGGCCTATGCTCTAAAACAAAATCACGATATAGGATTATATTTATTACTAGTGGAAGTATTTTCTTCAAAAACTAAATTAAAGTAAATAATAACAGAAAATATAATAATGAAAGACAATTGATATTTTATTTTATATAGGTCTGACTCTGGGATTGACTTTGGGATTATTACTCAATCAGCGCTATGTTGGTAAGTTACAAATGAAAAATAAACTTCATTATAGAAATATTTATAAAACACTATGTATAAACCTAGAGATAAATATAAATTGAGTGAATTAACACGAGTGCCTGAACTAGGAACTTCGACTTATCATTAATCTATCGCTATGCAATATGGTGATGAACATACATTACTTATAAAATGCTAAACATAAATGTAATTTAATCCAAAATTTCCCAATAATCTTCTTTTCCCATAACTCATGTACATATACATTTTTTTAAGGGAGATCTTGAAGAGTATATGCCATTAAGTATAATTATGGTGATATAGACGGAGAGCAAAATGTACAACCTCGTTATATCTTTATTACTTCAACATATATCAGGAATATAAACTTCTAGCGTTTTTTAATTGTGTTTTTTTTTTTATGAAAACTACTAATATTTTTAATTAAAAATGCCTAAAAGTCCACTTTGTCCCTGGTCTTGATCAAATACATATAGCTTTTTGCTGTAGTGTCTACAAATTTGAACATCAAAGTAATTTTATTCGAACTTCGCGGATATTTTGCTATTATAAAAATTTAAAATTAGAATAGCTCGGTAACATAGTGGATTAGCACCGCGGTCCGCTATCGTTGTTGTTAAGCAACGTTCGCAAAGGTCGGTCACGGGATAAGTGACCAAAATATTATTATCTCGAACTACCCCTCGATTCGGAAGGCACGTTAAGCTGTTGATCCCGGCTGGATTTGTAGTCGTTACTGCCTTCCAATCAGCATTGGGCCAGCGTGGATGGTCATGACCCATCCTCCTTAACCATCCATAAGGAAAGCCTAAGCCCCTGCAGTGGGAACGTAAAAGGCCTGATGATGAAAATTTAAAATTAAATAAAATTAATAATTGTGTTTCGTATCGTGATTCCTGACAGTTAACCAGTACCCTGGGTATTGTACAGCCGCAGTCCAGAAGGATGTTGTGATGGTTACTCAGTTGATCGACGATAAGCCGTGCAAATGTGTGGCGCCATTCTATTATAGGGCTAGTCGCCTAATAATATTACTGGACGGATATTTTTACCAGTTGGCTATGATATATTCTTTATATAAGTATTAACAATTTAACAGCTGTGATTTTAAAAATTAACCAAGCAATCGCGTCTATATTGTTCTTATTCTATTTATTCCGGTAACTGTCTGGTGATCTCTTATTATAAGATGTAAAACCGTCAAGGAGAATCCTTAATTATGCCATACTAATATATACATGCGAAAGTAGGTCTGTCTATTTATCAGTTGTCCTTTCATGTCTAACTTACTTAATATAGTTGACTTGAGATAGGACATAGGTTGCTTATTATTATGATGAAAGGAATTAAAGTTTATACAGAAGTTTATCATTGGAAAAGATAAAATCATGTAACCTTATTTCAAGCATTTTATACAATATAATTAATAAATACTCGTTTGAGAAATGCTGCCCAAACTAAATATACCACGCGAACAAAGTCGCGGGCAAAAGCCAGTTTACTAATAAATTAACTTTCAACCTTTACGAAACTTTTTCGGAGCTCATTTTCACATCAACTTCTGAGATTAGCTGAATCGCTGTGTTTCACGATTGTGTAATCTGAGCAGTGTTCTCTGTTTTTTTATCATAAAAATAAGTTTTTCGCTTATTCTAAATAATTAAAAATCACTGTGTTATGATCTTTGGTACTTTACATTTACCCCACCGCCATCAACTGTTCCCACCAGACCTCCGCATTGGTTTCTTTAGTACTTCAACATACTGAAATATATTTTTTATTATGTCCTCTTAGACTAATAAATTATGAGAATTTAGTGCATAGGCAGAGATAATGTAGTATACGGTAACAGAATGGATTGGTACTTTATTTGTCCAACTATTAGGCTATCATTTTTTGGCCAACAACTAAAAAGTTTGTATAGTGGTATTAACTGATAGATATTAATCTAATAAAATCACTCCTTCTTTCTACTGCGGACGACGATGACGTTCTGCCTGCGATACGATTGAAAAGCAATTTTTGCAAGGGCCGTTATAGGATGGGTGACTAAAGTATTAGTTCCGGCAGTGGAGAATTAGGGATGATGACAAATTTTTGTTTGTTTGTCCGTCAGTTAGAGTGTTAAAAAATATTAAACATGTATTTTTTTATTTTTTTCGTTATCATAAAATTACGGCGTTACATGGAGTTGAAATTTCGCATGACGTCACGTTAGGGTACGTTTTCTACTCAACTGTGACGTAGCGAGCCCCCACTCCTCAACTTTAATGCCTGTTATCTAAGCTATTTCTTGTTAAATTGAAGTAAAAAAAAAATACGTATCTAATATTTTTCTATTGTCTGACTGACGGACTAAATAGAATTACATTTTTTTTACCCAGTCGTCATCCCTATTAAATATGCTGCTGATGCTGAATCACTTCTATTTATCTATTAATTGATAAAATTTTTATAAAATATATATATTAATTTCGCACATTATTGATAATTAATCTGCTGATAAATAGTAAGAAACGCCGTAGGGAACAATTTTATAAATATATAATAATTGTCTAACTATATATAATTTATTTCCCCTATTTAAAAATATAGAATTGGAGGTGTGGCCACGATCTGATGAATACAAATGGGAAGAGCCCCTCATCCAGTTCCGGCCCTCGGATACTGGCAGCTGGCATCCTTGGTACAAACGCATTAACGAGTTCCTTAAACGTGAGTATTTTAAAGTTCAGAATGGTAAGTGTAAGTTTTACGATAACGCGTATGGAGATTTGTAGTTCTTGGTAGTTACTGCTAGGGGCATTGTACCGGATTCCATACCAAAATCTTAACGCGTTCACGATTGACAGTGAACGTAAACTTAAGTTTACATAATGACAAGGTTATACACTAAGTGTCCCTTTACTTATAGGACTCTCACACTCACACTCCTCCCATAGACAAATAGACGCTCCAGGCGAGCCACAGCAGTACGCTTACAGCACATTATCCCTGATATTGCTATGAGAGACATGCACGCGCACCACAACCGAGCGACCAAAACGTTCATGTGTGAGAACTCGTTCATACAGGCTACAGTTGTAACTTTAAAAATAAAATAATAAAAAATAGTAAATATTACAATTCCAGTGTATGTACAGTTTCTTTACAGCAGGCATGGAAGTCAAAACAAGGTCGATATTATTTTGGTATTCCTTAAAAAGTGCAGTTGCTCGCAATACAGGACAGTGCAACTTTAGATTTGTACGACTCTTAGGTGGATGGAAAAGTTTGTTACTGCCAGATCTCGGCAAATGACATGGAATATTATTCCTGTTTAACATTAAACTTAAGCTAAGCTGAGATTAGTCGGAGATATGTCAATTTATATGGTTGTGAAATCGAATGCTGTACTGACATTGATACGAACTCTGTACATGATATTATAAATACATAATTCAATACTTATCATATCAGTAGCATGGTCCGGGTCACTGGCTGGCACGTGACTAGGTAACACGTGACATAAAACGTAACTGTCAGTTTACTGAATGAATATAAAAATACTGGAAGGGTGCAATTAAAATGTTGCAGAATATTTCACTACTTACTGCCACTTATATTTATTTTTAAAACTTTTATAAATGTGATCGGTGCGCGAGTCCGACTCTATGAGTCGTTTTCTCCGACTCTATATGTTGAGATTTTCGATATTAGAGATATTCGGGAATCTAAAATCTATGGCATCTGATTTACCATAGAGTTGCTCTCACAGAAAGATAGGTAGGTACCGAATTAATCTACTTGGTTTACGTTGATTTCATACCTTTTTACGGCTGAAGAATTGCGTTGTGGGACTTGCGCATTTTTATACATGTTATGTTTTTAATGGGATATAAATTTACGCATTCATACTGAATAGTAAATGGTATAGCTTTGTCTTTCTTTATTAGATATATCGGAGACTTTCTTTGTATGTAGCATACGAGACCACCATTCCTGATGACCCACCACGTGCCCCGTGCTCCATCCATAACAGGCACGAGCAGCAGATCAGGAGCAACAACTGTGAGATGGCCATGAGGGTCTGGGCACCTTGTACAGTTGACGAATTCTACGGGTACAACATGGGCACACCTTGCGTGTTCTTGCGTCTCAACTATGTAAGTATTTATAATTCAAGCAATCAGTGGTCTGCAAAACAAAGACTAGAAGTATTTCTCAATAATGCACAAATGCGAGTTAAATTATAATAAACATTTATTTTGGTCGAAGACGAGAAGGCAAAAGAATCTGACGACAACGTACAAAATAATAATATGTATTAAATCAAAGTTATGCTCCGTTTACGAAAGTCGTAAAAATTATATAGTAATACATTATTTTGTCCATGACAACCCTGTCATGGAGAAATCAAGGAAGTACCGTAGCGACATCTAGTTTGATTTCGGGAACTAATGTTTTTTTTTAAATACTTTCTCGTTAACTTTTTAAATAGTGTTTCATTATATTAATTGGTTGGTTCGCCTTACAGCTGCACTACTGGATTCCGCATCCTTACAATGTTTCCACCTCCTTGTCAATCCCCACGGAAATGCCGGAACATTTGAAGCAATTCATGGTAAGACTTTAAGATCACGCATTAATTTATTTATAGAATATTAACTCGTCAGAAATAGAAACAAACCAAAGCCTATATATGGCTGTTGGTGATGATGATGATGAAATAGTCAAAAACATAGCTATTTACGCCATTAGTAGTGTTCGAACGATACTTTCGATACCGAGTAGATATCGATACTTTCAAAAGCGAGACTCGATACTACAGCATGGTGAGTACTCTCAAGTACTCATAAAGAATTCTGGTATCCAGTACTGCTTGATACGGCTTATTTACAGTTGACATTTGGCTACCATGACTGAACTTTATAACTATTTATACTACCATATACCTATGTATATTCTGTGGCTTTTCAATTTTAATTGTTTTATTAACTAATTGCCTAGCCTGGATACAATATCCTTCAATCGTATACATTGTATGAAATAACATTAGAAATACGTAGGCGGGATGATAAATAGCTAGCCCAACCCATATTTTGTATAATAACCATATAAAATCTCCTTAGTATTTTACTCATTGGTTCATTAGCTGCCAGTGTTCCAAATTTCAAATCGATCGTATAGTTTTCTTTTAAATATTGACATTTCAAAAAGCATTCATTTGTTTTTTCTGCAAAATGGATAAAATGGAGCTAAGAGCTGTGATAAAGTTTTTGCATTTAAAAGGATTAAAAGATTTTTTTCGGAGATGAAGGATGTTTTGGGAGAAAATGCTCCTTCATATGCGACCATAAAAAATGGGTGACTGAATTTAAACGTGGCCGTATCAGCACCCAAGATGAACATCGTCCAGGACGTCCAAAAAGTGCCACTACTCCAGAAATTGTGATCAAAATTCATGATGCAGTTTTATCTGACCGAAGATTGAAACTTTCCGAGATAGCTGATAGGCATCTCTAAAGAACGGGCGTATTACATTTTGACTCAAGAATTATGTATGAAAAACTTATCTGCAAGGTGGGTGCCGCGATTGCTTACAGTTGACCAAAAACGCGTTCTTATGTAAATTTCACAAGAATCTCATCAAGCTTTAGGAGCAATACAACTGGTTTTCTGCGTCGGTTTGATACTACAGACGAGACTTGGGTTCACCATTATATACCTGAATCAAAAATTCAGTCTAAACAATGGACGGAAAAAGGTTCCCGGCTCCAAAGAAAACAAAAGCCGTGAAATCAGCGGGGAAAGTCATGGCGTCAGTATTTTGGGATTCGAAGGGTATATTCATGATTGATTACCTTCCAAAAGGACAAAACATAAATGGCGAATATTATGCTGATCTACTGGATAAATTATAGGTGTGTATTCGTGAAAAAAGACCCGGCCTGGCTAAAAAAATTAAGCTTTCATCAGGATAATGAGCGCGTTCACACGTGCATCACTGCGATAACGAAATTTAAAGAATTAAATTATGATTTACTAACACACCCAGCTTATTCTCCTGATCTGACACCATCTGACTTTCATCTATTCCCTAAGCTCAAACATTTTTTAGGTGGACAAAGATTTAAAAATAATAGCGAGGTGATGTCTGCCATGGACAGTTATTTTGATGGGCTTGAAGAATAGCACTTCAGGGATGGCATCAAGGCTTTAGAGCATAGATGGATGAAATGCATAGCGTTTCAAGGAGACTATGTCGAAAAATAAATATACTTTTAACACACTAATTCAAGTTTTTCTGTGCTAGGCTAGCTATTTATCATCCCGCCCTCGGATGATAAATAGCTAGCCTAGCATAGTATATATTAAAAGTTGAAGGAAGTACAAATAATAATCATAAAAATATATCAGAAGAATCTATAATTTACCATTTACTTACAATGTTTAAATATTTTAGATGGTGTTTCATTCCTTCGTTGTTATAGCTACAGCAATTGCTGTCTTATAAAATATGACATAATTGAAAAGAAAACTATAGCAGTAAATATTGCCGTGGCAAAATCTACGCCAAATCCAAGTTCTAGTCCAGTAAATGAAAAAAAAAGGAAATTAAAACATGTTTAATTTTTTATTATATTTAAAAAATTAACTACGTCAGATTACTCAGATTGGTTGAGAACACGGAGGATATTTTAAGATGTTTTTTGATTCCTACTTATTATTATTTTTTATTTAATAATCAAAATATAGCGCTTCCTCGTTCACAAGAGAATTTAAACAGAAACGCTATGATTGCTTTATACAATTCTTTTTTTTTTTCTCTGAATGCAACTTAAAGCAATTTGCATGAACTTAGCAAATTATAATGTTCAGACATGGTTTTTAGGCAAAATTATAATGTCAATTCATGTTGGTAAATACTCGATATTGAGTAGTATCGATACTTTTTGGTATCGATACCATGTCCCACGTGACTACTCGATATCGATACTAGAAGCCGATACTTCGAACCCTAACCGTTTGCATACCGACGTATTCGCTAGCGAATGTGAAACATCTGCGAAACTATGCGAATGATGACATGGTTGTCACCAAAAAATTTCGTGATATTCGGATAGTCGTCAGAAACCCGTCGCTTGCGATTTCAAAATAAAAAGTTTGCATATAGAAAAAGTTTGGCAAGCGAAACGTGACACCACCTATTTTTCCGTTTTCATATGGCAACAACATAGAACTGTCAGTTTGACACTACGTTAGACAATTCAAGAATATTGAATTTTGTTGTTTTTGCGAATTTGAACTTGTGTTTTTAGTTAAAAATTATGTCGAAGCCGATAAAAAGTTCATCGAGGAAACTTCTTTCCATCATGATTGACAAGTTTACTGAAGTGAAAACTGAATTAAATAAAAATTTCATGGAGAAATTACAACGATTAGATAAAGTTGTATCTTTTTTAGGTTAGTTTTGTATTATAATTTTGATACTTTCGTTTTAATTTTCTGTAATTAACTAAACAGATATTTTTTATAAAATATTGCTCTATTTCAGATAACTGTGATGGTGATATTCAACCAATAATGGAGGAGATAAATGCAATAAAAACTTTAGAAAAACAAGAAATGCTGAATTCGGAAACGCAGTACTTACAAAAAATTTCTTCAATGACAGGTCTCTTTTCTTGTTTTGATTTAAGATAGATTGATAGTATTCCTATAATATTTACATAGGTTTTTTATGATGTATTGGTTTTTATTGTTGACATCCAATGATGTCATAAGAATGTTTTGTTTAACAAGGAAATTCACAGAATTCATGAAACTAATCAAACCATGTAATTGTTATACATGCTAAATATGCACATAAACTTAACTAAATTAAACATAAATTGCATTCATAGTTGAATAGGTATTTAAATTATTTTGATGTATGTGTCTATCATTATTTGCTTTTAAATACATTTAACATATCTTTGTTTCAAAGTGTTTAATCTTTTATAGATGTAAGTATAAGGACACTAAGAAGGATAAAAAATGAAGCATTAATTAATAAAGGAAAATGGGACACTCCTGGGAAAAAACGACCTCATCAACCAACAGTGTCTGCTTTAGATAATTTTGATTTAAGTGCAATTCGGAATAAAGTAAATGAATTTTACTGTGTGAAAAAAATTGTTCCAACATTAAGAAGCCTTCACAATGAATTAAAAGATGCAATAGGATTCAGTGGTAGCCGTGAGACTTTACGAAAAATTATGCTTAAGAATGGATTTTCTTTTAAAAGCAATGAAAATGAACGTTCTATGCTTATAGAAAAATACCAGATTTCTGCATGGAGGCACAAGTATTTGAGAGAAATAAATATAAAACGAAACGAAGGAAAGCAAATTGTGTACCTTGATGAAACTTATGTACATCAGAATTATAAAGTTAAAAAGTCTTGGCAAGGACCTTCAACAACTGGTGTCACTACAAAGATATCCTCTGGAAAACGGCATATTGTTGTGCATGCTGGATCTGAGGAAGGTTTTGTGCTTGGTGCATTATTAGTGTTCAGTAGTAAATCCAAATCTGCTGATTATCATGATGATATGAACTCATCGAACTTTATGAAATGGGTCAGAGAAAAATTAATACCAAATTTAAGTAAGCCCAGTGTAATTGTTATGGATAATGCCAGCTACCATATAAAACAAATCAATAAACCGCCTATAATGTCTAATACCAAAGCAGATATCCGTAAATGGCTTGTAAATAATGGAATACATTTTGAGGAATATCAGACAAAGGCAGAGTTAATGTGTTTGGTTAATGATAAGAAAACATTGCCTGTATATGAAGCTGAAGAGATTTTAAAAGAACATAATCATGAACTTTTATTGCTGCCACCGTATCATTGTGACTTAAACCCAATAGAGATGGTTTGGAGTCAAGCAAAAAGAAAAATTGCAAGCAGAAACATTGGAATACCAGGAAAGGAAATGGAAAACTTAATAATAGAGTGTTTTAACTTAATTACCCCTAGTGACTGGAAGAAATACACTGATCATGTTTTAAATGTCGAAAATGATTACAAATTAAAAGATGGCATTGTTGAAAACGAACTTGAAAAATTTATTATATCTGTTGGTGCAGACAGTAGTGAAGAGAGTGACTCTGATGATTCCTTGTCATTGTTATCAGGTGTAGAATATTTAGAAACAGATTTTGACTATGAATCAGACTAAAGTATTTTTAGTCTGATTCATAG